CATCTTGGACAACTGCCAATAATAAAACTTGCTTGTATTTTCCATACAAGAAAGTCCCGTCGATCTGGACCACAGGCTTGCAGTATTTGACAGCATTAACAACCTGTGGGTAACTCCAAAAAAACCAGGTAGAATTGGCATCAATCGCGAAGAACTCGATCATTATGGTATGCATAGGAGGTTTCGAAGTCCACAATTGTCCCAGGATTCAACGTTCGCACCAGCCTAAACCAACCTGGAAGTTCGTTGTAAGATGCATCTCATTCGCCATGAAGTTTGACAATGGCATTTTGTTTTTCCAACCAAGCTTTTTTATAGGAGACAATGTACCCATACTGCGATTGTATAGCTGAAATCAACAGTGCAACAGCTATATGAGAACTTGCTTTGACCATGGGTATGATGGCTTGGCATATCACTTCAGAGTCCAAGTTGGGATGATCTTGGTTAACCCCTCCAGCACAACATGTGTGAAGACTGTTGTATACTGTTAGTTCCCATATGTTGTTTTTCCTCTTCCTCTTCGATACGCGAACCATCCAATTGCATCCGTTTTTGCGCTGGACACAGTAGCATACATATTTTTCAGTCGTGGAGAGGTCTACTCTTGACTGAAAAGAATTACGAATATTGTAATTTTTGATAGCCATCATCGCTTCTTCTTTGCTTGAAAACTCCATGCCTAAAGATAACTCACCATTATTTATTGATGAGTAATACCCATAGTCACCGAGATGAGGCATATCCGCAAATTCTGGCCCGTACATTGCACCATAATCAGCTTCATACATGTGTGCAGGAGGGTCAGTTTGTGCCACATTTCCTGGAACTTCATCATTATCGGAGTTGAATTGCGGTGATTCTGGGTCAATGAATAGTCCAGTCTCAGCACCATCCGCACCAGGCTCACGAAGTGGTTCTTCTGGTGGAGATGATGGTTCCTCCATGCTCTCCACAATTAGGTCGAAGAACCTACTACTTGCACGTCTTCCCCTTGAACTGGAAGGCATATCGACATTGAGATCGAAAAAGCTCGTAGTCGAATGCCTCCCCCTAGAGCTTGAAGCCATCGCGTCAAATGGAAACTGCACAGATGGTTGTGTCGATGGCATCTCTATATTAAGGTCAAAGGGATTTGCAGATGAATGCCTTCCCCTTGAACTTGACGCAATGTTGCCATACGAATTGTTCGTGAACCTACCTCGGTACATATCGTAAGGAGTTGCGGATGAATGTCTCCCAATTATGGCATTAAAATCATTACACATTACTGTCGTCGGGCTGCCAACTTGATCAACTTATTCAGTTAGCCCATAGTGGGAGCTTAATGATTGACCTCGAACAGCACGCACTAGAACAAAATGTGCATACATCTCAATAGCGGCGTCTGAATAATTACTTTGAGCTTCAACCATCATTTCAACATCATCATTGTTCGAAAGTTTAAACGATGTATAAGTTAATGGCAACAATGATGTTGGAAATCTATATTGCAACGACGACACTCTTCTACTACTTCCAACATGAATCTTCCTCGAAATCTTCGTTATCAACTCCTCAAGAGTTATGTTTCTCTTGAATGATATTTTAACACGCTCATTTGATACGAAAACAACGCCGGTTTCATCTTCTCGAATTTCACCATCATAATAAACAATAACTGAAAGTCGCGCCATTATTTGAGTTTAAAAGTGCGGCACTATTAAATCTGCAAAAAAAAATGAAACAAACCTGATTTAATAAATTATATATGAACGAACATATAACACAATAAAATTTTTACACATCAACGTAAATAAATTAAATAATATAATTTAATATTATTACATGCACCGCAAAACTATTTCGACGTATGCTCCCGCTTTCCAATTTTACAAACACAAAAATTAATTGAAAATAATTAGTATAATATTTTTTTCAAATAATCATAATAAACAATAAATATAATAAAAAAATTATAACAAAATTACCTTATAACGAAAAATCGCATGAACTTCTAAATAAAATATGAGAAGATTGCCAGAATTATAGACTCGTTGACGGAATTGTTGTATTAATTTATAAGTTGAGAGGAGAGATGTGAGAAATTAACCGGTGGAGAATGGTATTTATAGCGAGGAAAGTTATACAAAACGCGATACCTGATCCGCGCTATATAAAATTATGTCAGAGTAAAGGTATGTCGCGGTACCATGCCCCGCGCTATATAAAATTATGTCGAGAGTAAAGGTATAGCACGGTTCCTGATCTGCGCTATACCCCTACGTGGCGTATAGCGCGCTACAGGGGCCGCGCTATACCCACGTGGCGCCAACTCACCGTATAGCACTGTTCAGGGGGTGCGCTATACCCCACGTGGTGCCAAATCATCGTATAGCGCGGTGCAGGGGGCGCGCTTTACTGCTAAGGGTGTTAGATCGGGAAATATAGTCTGACCGGTGTTAGATCGGTAATATTACCGGTCACCGGTGATATATCGAGAAAATCGCCAAAGGAAAGCACTTACACCGAAATCTCCAACATACATTTTCTTTTTACGATGTTTATGGATTTGATGAATCGAGTGTTTTAGTTGGAATTTCAAAATTATATTTCGAATTAGTTTTTTACAATTTGAAGGAAGGCCATAAAGTTGGAGATTCAAATTTGACTGTATGTACATACATGTACTTAATGTTGATGGTGTCACCATGACACCAAGCAATGGAATCTTTTGTAAGATGCCATGCCAGACGGTTTTCTCTGTCCATGCAATATTTTAGATAGCCTACATGTCAATTATATATATACATGAACTAACTTATATCAGTAGTTAAAGAAATCGTTATTTTTTTTAAAGGTCACATGTTCAAACATCATCGACTGCAGTAGGGTGATTGAGCATTAATTGTCAAATGATTGAAAATATTTAAAACAGATATTACTTTGTAATTACCTTAGCTTAACCAATATACTCATAGAGTTTCGTTCGAAGGTTACACGAATTACTTCGTGTATCTTTTTGTTTAATTTTAATGTCAATAGTCGATCGAGTCTTAATTCAATTGGTATAATTTTATCGTAAAAATGATTTGTTTCCTTAACTGATTATTGGGATTGTATTCAGGGGCGGATGCACTAAGTCGAAGCCAAGTGCATCACCTTATTTAGGAAAAAAAAGTGAAATTTTGTATAATACGTTAAAGAAAAATGAAAAAAAATTGCACCCCCATTATTTTTAAGAAAAGAAAATTAAAATTTTGGACCCCCATTGTTAAATTTCTAGATCCGCCACTGACTGTATTTAACGTGTGTAAGCCTAACGAGTTTGTGAAGTAGTATACGTGTAATGTTAGGAATTTGTAAGCGGAAAAGAAAATAATACAAGATTAATATAAAATAAGATATACGTAAGAAATGAGATTTAACGTCGTTCAATGTTATTTCACTTCAACGGATTAAAGAACACAAATTTATTGTAAACATAGAGATCACAAAGAACATTCTACTATGTACCCAAAAAAAACTCTTCCACGTACTATCCTTAAAGCTCTACAACATAAACCTTAAAAAATATAGAGATCAAAAAATGATTAAATCTATAAAAAAAAAATTCTCTCTCATGATTTTAAAGGTTAAGACATACCATATATTTATAGGGAAATCAAAATTAGTCAACAAGAATCATTACCTTACCTAAGTAAACTTAATCACTAAATAATCTTCTAACAATGAAACTATAATAAAATCTAACTAAATTATCAATTAGAATTTGAGTTAATATTTAAGAATCTCTCTACAAACACAAATTCTATTTAACCATTGATCTTTAAGTCTTCAAAAAATTTAATATTTACGTAAGTCATATTTGTTAAAGCATCGTTGGATAGATTCAGAATTGCTCTTCCTATAACTGAAAACTCGTTGCAGCAAAACTCCTTTTTTATGTCTTCAATATCGCTAATAAAATTCGCAATAATAAATTTATTCGAAATTGAACATCTTGAAGCATGACTCGTGATACCACTTGTTAGAATTTTTCAAAAGAAAAAGAAAATAAAACAATATCAACATGAAATAAGACACACACAAAAGACATGATTTACCGTGGTTCGTCCTTGTTTATCTCCACAAATGAGAGAACACAAACTCACTATAAACGTAGAGATCATTAAGAGCATAAATACATGTAATTCTCTTATATCCAAACGATCTGAAGACTAAGAACTTGTACATTCAAGCTTGGATAAGGTTTGAATTCAATTGACAATCATTGTTGATTAATATCCTTAAGGGGTCACGGAAGAGGTGAATAACCTTTTCATCGAGATGAAGAATTTTTTTGAGTCTGAAATCCCTCAATAATATTCAACCAGAGATGATGTATTGTCCCTGCTATGATCCACTTCTGAATGCGTTTCTTTTGTATTTAAATTTCACGTTTTCGATCACTTTGCGTTTTCATTAATGTTGTTCTTCGAACCTCGAGATGGACTGAGAACAGGAAGGAGAAGATATTGATCAAGCCATCGTAAAGAACTCTATGTTGGTGTGTTGGGAAAGGCTCAATGAGATGCTATGAAAAATACTTTGAACAAACCATGTTTGAAGCTACTGCTGCATTTTATTCCACCAAGGCCTCTAACAGGATGAAAAGCGAATCATACAACGATTACATACTTTAGATCGATCACGGTCGTTGGAGACATGATTTCGGACGTAAAAAGTAGAATTGCAACAAGAAAGAAAATCATGAAAAATAATACGAACATGATACGAATACAGAACCTTATTACGATACAGATATCCCACAGTTCTCAGAAGAGCTGTGAAAATAAGCACCAAAAATACAACAGAACCTTCCAAAAGAATATAATTTTCAATTCCAACTGAATTTCTGGGGAAAATTGTTAACAGAATAGAGAACTGTTAGTGTGCATAAATTGATTGTCACAACATTACATCAGTAATCAACCTCTTGAAAATGGCTGCCTAATGAATTTCAAACTCTGATGTATTTTCTTTTCCCCGGGCACTGAAACAATGGAGCGAAAAAATAGTAATTTATGTGACCGTTATCTTACATAGAACTCCGAATCTCTAACTGAACAAGCTCGAATTTTCCCTCTTTGCCAACCCGAAAAACTTAAAGTCGAGCATCCTGTGCTCTCTTATCAATGAGAAGAAGGTGAACAAAAATATACATTGCAAATTTGCAAATAAATCTCACTTTATACACATGTACACTGAGGCAATAGGTTGTTGGCGACTGGCGTCTTTACTTGTTTCGAATGCAGGTTTAAGTATGCATCTTTTTCACCTTTCTTCTCCAATATGCACATTGGAGGTTATAATCCAAAAAAACACAATATTATATACAGGGGTAGATTAAGCTGTAGCACTACCTAACCAGAACGACCTATGGCCTGCGTAGCCTGCTGAACCAAAGATATAAATTCATCTACATCTTGAAAGCTGAAATCAATCACCTTTTTAACAGAAGCAATCCACTCGATATCTTGTGCGTCTTCCTCTTCCAGGGATGAAGTAGCAGCTATGAAACATGTTTGGGATTTTCTCGTGACCTCCATTGCAAAACTTGCATCCTGTGTCTGCAGAATATTAATGTATTAACACGTGTACCTAATTGAACAGCCTAATCAGCTAGCATAGACATTGAGAGATGAAATTCTTACCAAGTTCATATGAGATTATAACGGGTGGTTACCTATGGCCAGTGCAGAATGAATTTGTTGCTATGCAATAAAATCATTGCACAGGCTTCGGATCTTATTTATTATTTTTTCCCAGACTTCACGACAGACAAACTCTCAAATTAGGAAGGAAAACAGCATAAACCTGACACTAAAATCTACAAGTTTGGCCAGGCTGTTGACATCAATTTATTAGACAGTGAAGAAAAACAAGTGTATTGACTTTCAGTTGTGATATCAAATAATCTTTCAAAGAATAAGAAATTCATTTCTACTACCAGCAAGTTAAGAAAGATCTACACTAACAAAGAACCCTGGTCGGAAAATGCAAGTCTATACTGCATGGCTAGTGCTAGCCTGCTAGGTATTCTCATCAGTCATTATCCTATTCAAAACTTCTTCATTCCGATATCACCTTATTTTCACCAAATTAACATCTTATCCATCTCCAACAACCTCATAACTACTTTACGAGTCCATATAATTAGTATTTAACTACCAAAGGAACATTCAAGGAGAAAAGAACATTTTATAGGCATAATCACTGCCTAATAAAACATAGAAAATAATAATGAAGCAAGAGAGAGGAGGGTGAGGGGAATACTGGAACTTTCAGAACGAATTAACTTACAAAGTCAAGCAGCCGGCCAAAACTAGGGTGGTTTCTAGCAACGACAACATGGGTTCCAGCGACATGTGAAACATTACCCTTGGCTAATGGAGCCTTGTCCACAATTGCTTGATTATTTAAGTTATTATCAACATCTGATACACAAGGTGATGGAGATTCACCTGAAAGAGGCCATTTGAAAGATGTTGGGAGGTACTTAATCTGAGAATTGCATCAGGAAAGTGAGACTACTAATTAATATGGAAGAAACAAATTTTGCAACTGAAGTTGCACCTTAATCAAAACAAAAGTCATCTATGTACAGTGAATACTTTATGTTTACTCCAAGCATTACATGAAATTACAAGAGGGGCACTACCCCAATGAGAGTTCTGTGGGAAGGGAAAACCAAATATGTAATAATTACATGGCCTCGAATGGATCCTAAAAGGACCACATGCACTGCTGACTGTCAAATTAACAAACCATTGTCACAAGGGCTCCTGCCCCATGGATAACACAATTTATATTGCAAAAATTTTACATTTTATTTTATTTTTGATAAGAATAGGAGGCCTCGTTAAAATTTTTTACATTTTAAAATGAAACATGACAAAATAGAGGATTCACACCATCTAAACGGATTTGCAATAAATCATATTGTTGGGTTTTTTTTTGGGGGGGTGGCTAAGTTTTCCTCCAATGACTTCTTACCTTGAGGGACCATCTGTACAGTTGCTTGCAACTCTTTCAGATCTCTGCTGCTAGAAGATTGTTTGCAGTAAACAACCCTCATGTACGCTACCTCCACGCATTTATAGGCTAAAGCAGCAGCAGCCAATTTTTGGCATTTTTCATATTCTTGGGCACACATTCTGTCAAATTGAGAATTTCAAGATAGAGCAAGATATAGGGATAAATCAACACTCATACTATAACTTTAAACGAAAAAAATATATCCAAGTTCAAGAAACAACAGTTTCCCTTCACTTTAGAAACATTCACTTACTCGCAAAGTTTAGTGGCAGTGCTGTTCACTTGCATTTGGTTCATGTCTCCATGTCTACCGTTCTCACTATTGCGGGTCTCTAGAAGGGTAGCAACACCAAGAAACTTAAGAGCAGCTTGGAAGTAAATCTCATTGCTTTCAAAAACAAAACGAGAACTCTGAAAATGGACAATGAAATGATAGTAACAGTTAGAATAGCAAAACCATTTCTGCTATAACTTTTATGAAAGCAGCATAGACAAAAGTTGAAAAGAAACCTTTAGCATCATTCAGGGCATTTGTTACTGTCAGGCTGGAGGAATTTTCTCTAACAGGACTGCAAGCATTCTTGCTGCTAGCTTTTCCAGGGTGTTTTAAAGCCTTCAACACATCAACGCTGGAAGAGCCATTAACTGGAACCCCATCAAAGATGACTCCCTGTTCTGCTTTGGGTACGGTTAGAAGACCTTTTTTCTCTTGCCAACTTTCAGTTTCAGAACGCAAGGATGATTTTAGCATTCCACTTCTTACCTCTACTAGTATTACTTTAGTTTTACCACTAGAACCTTGGATTACATTGTTCTCAGGGGCATTGTTCCCCTTTTTGATGCATGGAGCAGAATATTTTACATCAACGTCATCATCTTTATATCCAATTGGGTCTCCATTCTACTATCACTTGATGGTTTTCCTGAAGGATTCCTCCTTCCAGAATAGTTCTTCTTGTCCTCCATCTTATCTGCAGCGGAACTTCTTTTACTGTCTTTTTTCTGTAAAGTAGAAGCATTCTTAGATTTCTTAGAAAATAATGCATTGCCACCACACTCCTTGTTCAGTATACCCTCATTATGGGAACTTTCAATAGTATGCTGCACATTCTCAGCAGAATGAGAATCACCATTGAGCACATGGCTATTCCCCAACCTAGAAGAAGGTCTACTTCTAATGCTGATTTTGCAAATAGAATCTTTATCCCGATAATCCAAGGTAGAAGATTTATGGGATCCAGGGTTAAAATCACCTGACATATTCTCTTCCATTTCTGTACCAGATTGAGCAAGCTCAAAAGTACCTTTCCCATTCCAACATCTTCTAAAATTGCCACTTGAAGGAATGCCACTATTTGCAGCATCCTTTCCTGAACCAGCAGTTGATGCAAGCTTTTCCGGATATGAGGTTCTCATTGGAGATGAAGACGCTGATTCAACCGGCGAACCCCTTGCTTCTTCAAAATTTGCTCGGATTTTACGAGAACTGGAAACCTTTGAAGGGCTAGAAGTTGCTGGTACCGAAATTTGTCCAGTTCCGGAATCCCTTTTCAATGAATCAAGGCCATCCAATTCTTTTTGAGATGAGGACTTTTTCTTGTGCTTACTTAATTTCTGGTTCCTATCAATACATCGGACTTCAATGCCACCAATCAAGTGATCCATACTTTTCCTGTTAGGTGTACCATCACCATCATTTCTATTGGACTGCTGCCCCTCAATCTTAGAAAACCGTAACTTCTTTTCATTCCTAAAGCCACTCCCTCTACTTTCTTCCCTCATGCATGAATCATTCCCAATTTGACTGTCCTGCCAGTTCTCCAATTTCCTTTTCTTGAGAGGAGCCCTTTTATCACATATTCTCATGTCTAATGATCTACCGTCTGATGAGGCCCGAGTTTGATCCACAATTTTCTTCACAGAAGCTACTGATTTTTCTTTAATATCATGTTTTACGTCCCCAGAATTAGAGCCCCCATTGTAATTCTGCACGCTGCTTCCATTCGCTTGAATTGGCAAGCTAGTGCTTGAATTAAGGCCCACCCTTATGTGATCTAAGTTAGAACTGTGATGTTTGTCGGTAGTGTGTTCTATTTCTGCTTTGCTTTTCTTTGAACCTTCATATACATAAGGACCAGACTCCCTCTTGTTTTTCATCTTTGCTTTCTTGGTCTCACCTACAATCAAACAATGCCCAAAATGAATAACAATAATTTCAATATAAAAGTCTTGACTACTACTGAAATTCTTATAGTAATAGCAACTAAATACCTCCAACTAGAAGCCTTTCTTTCTCTTCAAAGGTGAATTTCTTCATGACAATTGATACAACGGGAGCCTTAGTCATGTCATTTAGACTCTTACTTTTCAAAGATTCCTTCTGTTGTTTTTTTCTAGAGTTTGACATCTGATTCAGGCCACTGCTACCTTCTTTCAGCACTTCCTTAAGATCATGGTTCTTCTTTCCTTCAACAGAAAAGGCCTGAGAATTGAAACTAGAGTTGTTCAGATCAAGATGCTGAGGCTGAGCTGAAGTAACTAATGACACACTTCCATTGGCATGATTTTGTGAGTTATTTTGATTCTCAGCAACTGGAACCTGGTATAATGCATTGAGAGCTTTTGTTGTGTCATCCTCACTAATGTCACACCGGTTCATTCTTGGCCTATACAATGATTTCAACAACAAAAATCAGCAAAAGCAAAATACAAATGCATAGGTACACACACATGGACATGCATCTATACATGTACCTGTTATTCAGTTTCACCAGGTTTTTCTAATTGGGGGTGTTTGGTAAACAGCTTTTTGAAGAGCTTTTAGCTTATTTGAGCATAAATAGTTTATTGGTAGTCAAACCCTCTATTTTAAGTGTTTGGTAAACACCTTTTGAAAGAGCTTATTATGCAAAATATGCTGAAAATGAAAACACTGGAAAATCTAGCGGTTTGCAAGAGCTTATTGCAAAATAAGATATTAAATGACATATTTAACTTTATTATTTCCATAATTACATCCTTTCCATAAAACCTAATCTAATGAAATAGCCTCCATCCTAATATATTTTAGTGAAATTTTATTTTATTATTCTATTTTTTAGGTGTAGATTCTCAAATATATTTTAGTTAAGAAAATATAACAAAACATGAAAGTAGGAAAAAAATGTAGTGTTGATACAAGGTTAATAGTAGGTATCAATCTCACAAGGTTAATATTTGTAAATATTAAATTTAAAAAAATATATTCAAAATTTTCAAAAATATTTACTAATTTTCTTAAGGAATTTTTAATTTCTTGTCCAAAGCATTTTATCCGAATAATTTCACCCCAATAAAGACTAAAGTATTATAAAACATATATGTACTTAACAACTAAATGTATCATGCCCTTATTTGTCATTTTACCCATATCAGCTATCAGATAAATTTTACCAAACACTTCTATATAATCAGTTAATCAAATCAGTTTATCAAATCAACTAATCAAATTAGTTGGTCAAACCAGCTTCTAGAATCAGCTACCAGCTATCAGTTGTCTGCCAAACACCCCCATTATTTGCAAGGACCATATGCACACAAGAATATAAACAGACACACAACATGCACTCAAACAAAAAGACATGATTCAACAAAAATTATATTAGATGTTTATCTAAATAACTTACAGCCAGTTAAGCATACTACACAACCACTTCTCAGGGAGTTGTTCTGGTCTAGTATCAAAAGGTAATAGTCGCCACTTGTGACAACTATCACATTGAACCCAATTTTCTTTTATGACTACAGGAGCAGTTGCAGCTGGTGCAGCTGTCTGAGCAGCAAGTCTCTTATCAGTGAGGAGAGGAACCGCATCTGGAGCATCCACTCCAGACAGCTGATTATCAACCATCCTTCCACTAAATTTTGCCTTTGATTTATCCAAATAGCCAGTTTGCTCCATCTCAAAATTCATTGGACAATAATCTTTTGGCCTATTCTGAAAATGCCTCATTGTTGGCTCCATTTGGCCACTTTTCTGTTCGAAATTTGTTTTTTGTGCATCTCTATGATTATCTTGGACCTTGTTAATACCCTTCTGTAACTTCAATTTCCGAATCTTTTCTTTACCTGAAGAAAAACCTTGACTAGAACAAGTGGTATCTTTAAGGGTCGCAACCGCATCAGGTTTCAAGCTTTCCTTCAAAGAATCAGCAACTTCTCCATTATTTTTGCTACCTTTTGACTTCTTGCCTTCGGACAATGTCTTTTCCTTCTTGGAGGGAATACTTATTTTAATTTGTACACGAAATGTAGCTATCTGACCAACCTTTTCTTTTGAATCTTCCTCAAGTTTAGAAGGAGCGGAGTTTTGGTAGCATTTGCTCCCAACATTGTCCCCAAGGTGAAGTGAAGCATTCTTATTGGAATTATCTATACTTTGTTCCCAACCCTTTTCATCTAAACTACTCCGCTTATCCCGCTTCTTTCTCTTATCACTCGATTTACTCCTTCCAGATATTGACTCCAAGGAATCCTCTTTTGCAGAGTCAGAGGAAAACAATCCACCCCTCAATGCATTCTGATTAGCTTCTGCAGACACATCACAGACCCTGGTGGTGGCTTCCACAGCAATATTCACTGAACTAGTTGGAACTGTGTGTTTCAAGTCATTGGGAAATGACTCCCCTCCTGCAATCTCAGTTTCATGCTTCTTTTTTATAAGCAATGTCTTCCCACTCTCAACATTCATGCGATTTCCATGCTTTGATTCCACCAGCTCTTCATTTTTCCCAATTAAAAAAATTGTTTTCTTCTCATTTAGTTGTTTTCTATTACCCAAAACGGACTCATCTACTAACATGGAAGGATGTTTTTGGCATGCCTTGAACAATGGGATGGATTTATTTTCTCTAGAAGGTCTTTCCTTTTCCTTTCTAAATAAGCATGGCAAGCTGTCATGAAGAGGAGATATGAGCACACCACCAGGGACATGATTGGAAGTCATAACCTGTTTAAAGGCATAAAATATCAATCCATCCTTCCTTAGTTCATATGCAGACCTGAAAACAACCAAAAGAAACCTCTACCTGAAGAATGCTAGAGGGTGTTTCGCTAGGGGTTTCTTGAGATATCTTTATTGTTCCTCCACTGTCATCAGGACTGCTCCCCAATGACGAAGATGGAGAAAAATCAAGCCCAAGACCACTATAGATTGCAGCAACTTTTTGTTCTTTTTTATCATACCCCATTTTAATTCGAACCTTCAATGTCTTCTGATCACTTGGAATCTCTTCTCTTTTAAAACTCTCATCCTTCAAGGAAGACTTCTCAGCAACTTGAGAAGAAGTCAAATGCATATCATGTTTAGCTGCAATATTGCTACTTGGGCAGGAAATGTTCCCTGGTCTCCCAATTGGGGGGGCATTTGGAGGAGCTTTCAAATTCTGATATGCACCCTGTATGGTAACACAATCCACAGCACTCAAGTAAACTAGAATTTTATTAAGTTGCCAAAGCAACAGCTATGGACTTCTTCTGACGAAATGACCAAACTATAGCAAAGATATCATCCATATACCTCCATAGAGAAATTGTTGGTTGAGGAGTTTCTCTGTGGTGTCTTCGGATGTGATAATCTTGGAGAAGAACGTTCATAGGTAGGCAAAAAAGAGCCATATCCACCAAATTTTGGCCCTGAAAAATAATAATTTAAGTCATCATCTTCAATGAAAAACATTAAGCTTGTAATATAACTTCAATTTTCTTAAAACAGCAATGAACCACTTACCCAAATTTTCTGCAGAAACTTCACCTTCAAAATCTTTTTGAAAATGGCCCAAAACGTTTTTAATCTTCTCATCCTTTAAGAAATAAAATCCCATATTACTACTAGAATAACACTATGAGTTTTGAAAATGTAAATTAAAACTGACATATAGACCAGATTGAAGGCCAACTGTTATAAGCATCTTCATGTTCGTTCTTTCCGGGAGCTTAACAATAACATATGAACTAATTATAGTTCAATATTTCAAATACAAATTGATCAAATAAATTAAGAAAACAATAAATTTAACCACATTTAATTGGGCATTCAGAAAACAGTATGAACATAAAAAAAATTCCAAAATGTTGAGGAAAATCCGGAGATCATACAGGCCAATTTCTGCCAAGAGACAAGTGTTTTATGAAGTTGAGAGTATCATTTACTTTCCTTTCTATGCCTCAGCTTTCTCAAGCAAAACGTCAAAAAAAATATTAGTAATAAAGTAACCTAATTTCAAACTTAAAATAAATTAGGAAATGATTTACAAATTACAAAGGTGCATCCAGTTTATCATTACTGTGTCACATTGGATAACTAGCTATAAAACTGTACAAAGACATTAAACATCCTTGTAAAATATATTCTTTAAGTTGTTTTTTAACATTCCCGCTGATGAAAAATTAACCTCGACAACCACAAAGTATGCAAAAGAAGTGAAAATTATCATTTCATTCGTCAACATTCACAATCATCTGTCTTCATCATTTCTCAACCAACAAATTGTATCAGTGAATCAATGGTTATATACCACAAATAAATTCAAACTTGAAGCCTCAGAACCCTAATGCACATTGAGAAGTTGTTTTTAACATTCCCGCTGATGAAAAATTAACCTCGACAACCACAAAGTATGCAAAAGAAGTGAAAATTATCATTTCATTCGTCAACATTCACAATCATCTGTCTTCATCATTTCTCAACCAACAAATTGTATCAGTGAATCAATGGTTATATACCACAAATAAATTCAAACTTGAAGCCTCAGAACCCTAATGCACATTGAGAGACACAACTTATACTGATAAACACATTGCCTGTTATGCTTAACAAACCCGAAATTAAGCATAATTTCAAATTAACCATTCCTTGCAACAAAGCTTAATACAATTGCATTGCCTACAAAGTACCATAAACGCATAATGAAACTCTGAACTCAGCCTAATTCCTACCCAAAACTCAAATGGCATTAACTGAAGCATAATTCCAGGTTTTGGAAAGAGAAAACAGGTGCAAAAAATGATTTATTTTTTCTCCAAAAATTAGACCCTTACAATGTAAGAGAAGGCGGAATCGAGGTTAATATTATCGTCTTCATCTTCGTGAAAGCAAGCTTCTACTTCTTCAAACTCAGAGTTTTCATCCATCACCAAACCCACCACCCCTCCAAAAACCCTAATCCTAACCTCGCAAAAACCTTAACCCTCAAATTCCGCACCTTTCCGAAAATCCAACATCACTAAATTTTGAAAAAAAAATAAGAAAAATAAAACAAAATATTTAAAACAACATCAAAACCCACAGAAAATCTCCCAAAATCGACGCGAATCCTACCAAAATCAAACAAAGATATATTAATAAAAAAAATCCCTTTTAATATCAATCAAATTTGAAAAAATCGTTAATCAATATTCTTTTTTTTTTTTTTGCATTTAACTCACTTCTTCGGTGCTAATTTTCGTTCTGGGTTATCAATTTTGGGAGATTGTTGGCTTTCTCGATGGATTTTTCATGGATTCGGTATCTTCGAAACTTGATTGGAGGAAACTTTTTGTTGGAACTGAAGAACAGTCGCTTGACTTCTTTCCTCTTGAGATTCTGGATGGGATCCCCATTGTTAAACCGCCATTGACGGTGATTGAGAAGGGTATAGTTGATTGGAGTTTCGTGGTTGTGGGTTAATTTATCGGTATTGCTCCTAATTTTGATTCGATGCAACTAATTATCAGCTCTCTTTGGAAAATCTTCTCCTGTTAAGGTTAGTCTAGCTGGTGTAAATCTTTACGTTTTTTAGTTTGAGAATGCTTCTATTAGGGACTGAGAACTCGAGAATGGGTCATGGCACGTTCTGAATAAACCTCTGGAACTGAAGAAGTAGAAACCCTGTATGCAAGGGCTTGATTTTGATCTTTCCCACATGCCTATGTGGGTTCAGCTTTACAATGTTCCTTTGGAATTATACTCTAGAAGAGGCATCAGCTATATCTCTAGTGCTTTAGGTAATCTATTATACATGGATTCCATAACTGCTTCTAGAGGTAGGTTAGAGTATGCTAAAGTTTGTGTTATCTCTGTGGGGTCTGTGATGCCAAATGAGGTTTAGGTAGTCCTTAAGGATGGATCTATGGTGAGGGTAGGTGTTTTTGTTCCTTGGCTGCCAAGGGCTTGCTAAAGTTGTAAAACTTTTGGTCACCTGGCTAGCAGGTGTGTTGTGAGTTAGAAGGAAGCTTTGAAGCAGGAGGTTCAAGTCTGGAAGAAGAAGGACACTACCATCTCTATTCCTTGTGATAAGCAGAAGCTGGATCCAAGTATTAATTTGAGTTCCTTTCATGTGGACTCCATTTTGCCTTCTAGTTCTTCTGACAATACTATTCTTGTAACTGGTGTTGGTTGTTCTAGTCCTGAATTATTAGTTGGTATGGCTAAGGAAAGTACTGTGTCAACCTTGCAAGAGATCCCTGCTAGCCATGCTCAGGAAGTTACAAACCCTGCTACTGCTCTATAGGATGCTAGCAAGGGGATATGTGCCACTACTGAGAAATTGGAGACTGTTGCAGTTGATTCTGATTGTGTGTCTAACTCTACCTTAGTTGAGGAAGTGACTCAAAAAGAGGATGTTGGGTCTGATTTTCCCACTTTGCAAGATTCCATGGTCCAAAAGAAGAAGGTTAGAGGTAGGAAAAAAGAGAATGATGGCTCCTCCAGCAAACTTGATGTATTGGCTGATGGTGATGGTGTTGATGATCAGATGAAGGCTAGGGTGGCTTCCATGGGGGTTGTTGTCCTGCTCAATGAAATCAAAACAAAGAAAAGATACCTTATAGATAAAGCCAAAGGAAGTGTGAATGTAGGGGTTGGTGGTGGTGTTGGCCCTGCTGTTAATTGATGATAGTGTGCTTTTGGAATGTAAGAGGGATTAATAACCCTTTTAAGCAGTATAAGGTACTGAACAAGCTGGTTAGCTTGGATGTTGATGTTGTGTGTCTTTTGGAAACTAGAATTAAAAGAATTAATGCTGATAAATTTTATTCTACATTTTCTGATGAATGGAACATGGTAGATAATTTTGTGTCTACTGATGGTGGTAGAATATGGGTTATGTGGAGGAAACAATGATCCTTTTCTGTCTTGAGGACTTATGACAAGTCCCTAACTATTGCTGGAATTATCAATGGCTATAGGACTTTGATCACTGTTGTTTATGTCAGTAATAACATAGTTGCCATGAGAGGTTTATGGGATTAATTAAAGAACTTGGATAATGAGGTTGGTTCCTCTCCTTGGGTGGTTGGAGGGGACTTTAATGTTGTCTTTCGAGCATAAGAGAGTTCTGATTATGTGATTATGGGTCTACATAATTCTCTTGATATGGAGGATTTTCAAAGCTGTTTGGAATACTTGGACTTGTTGGATCACCCCTTCTTAGGTCCCTCTTTCTCTTGGTCTAACAGGAAGGATGAGGGATTTTTAGCTCGCAAGCTGGATAGAATATTGGTCAACCATCCTTGGTTGTATGCTTTCCCTGATTCGTTTTCTAAATTTAAGGCACAGGGTGTTTATGACCACTGCCCTGGTTTGATTTGGACTCAGAATGGTGCCTTGGCTAGGAGACCAAAGCCATTCAAATTTTTTAACTATTGGTCCTCAAGTGCTGATTTCTTGGGCATTGTAAAGGAGTCTTGGATGGAGCAATGTGATGGGAATCCTATGCAAAGATTATTTTTAAAATTGAAAAGACTAAAGCCCAAACTGAAAGATCTCAACAAGGAGCAGTTTTCTGATATTTCAAACAGAGTTCTTAGTAAAAGGGCTGACCTGGAAAGGATTCAATTGATTAACTTGAGTAATGCTGATCAGAGGAACATAGATGAAGAGAGGAAGATCCATGCTGAGTTGGTTGATTTGGAGGTTGCAGAATATGAATTTTACAGAAAGAGGGCAAAGGTGCATTGGTTAAAAGAGAGAGACCTTAACACAAAGTTTTTTCACCAAAACGTTGAATCTAATCAAAAGAGGAACACCATTAAGGTTTTAGTGACTGAAAATATATAGCATATTGACTCTTTTGATGACATGGCCACTGAGTTAGTGAACTTCTTCACTAATCTCATTGGTACTGCAGATCCTATGGTCAAAAGCCTTCATGTGGAGTGTCTGAGAGACTTAATTAATATTTCCCTGCCTGATGGTGTTGGATATATGCTTACTAAGAAGGTGAAGGATAAAGAAATTAAGGAAGCCTTGTTTAGGCAAGGTAATGGTAAAAGCCCTGGCCCTGATGGGTATTCTTCTTGGTTTTTCAAGGCTACTAGGGATGTGGTGGGCTGTGATTTCTTAACTGCAGTAAGGTTCTTCTTCTTTTCCTCTTCCTTGCTGCCAGCATTTAATGCAACTACTATTGTTTTAGTCCCTATGGCTTTGAATGCTTGTATGGCAAAAGATTTTAGACCCATTTCTTATTGCACTGTAGTGTACAAAACTATCACTAGGATCATCACTATTAGGTCGTCTCTCATTTTTTTCTAGTATGATTTCTCCTAGTCAGACTGCTTTTGTAAAAGGTAGGAATATTGTTGATAATACCCTACTAGCTCAGGAAATTGTTAAAGGTTATTCTAGGAACAATATGTCTCCTAGATGTGCTATTAAGATTGACTTACAAAAAGCTTTTGACTCTGTGAATTGCGATTTTTTGATGGTTGTGCTTGAGACTATAGGTCTTCCTGTGAAGTTTTGTAGATTGATAAGGGCTTGTGTTACTTCCTCCCAATTTTTAGTTTCCTTGAATAGTAGCCTTGTGGGTTATTTTAAGGGTACTAGAGGGGTTAGGCAGGGGGATTCATTATCCCCTTACCACTTTGTGTTGGTAATTAATGTTCTTTTCTTCCTTGCTGGATTTTTCTACAAAAAGGGGAATTTTTAGGTATCACCCTAAGTGTAAGAGGATTTCACTTACACACATTTGCTTTACTGATAACTTACTGGTGTTTTTGCCATGGTTCTATGGATGTTGTGTTGGGTGTTTTAAGTACTCTTGAGGCTTTCTATGATCTTTCTGGTCTTAAGCTCAATGCCCAGAAAACTGAACTCAATGCTTATGGTCTATCTGAGTCTGTTCTTCAGCAAATTCAGTATGGTACTGGATTCAGAGTAGGGAAGCTCCCTGTTAAGTATCTCGGGGTTCTTCTGGTAACTAGGAAACTTACTAGCAAGGATTGTTCTGCTTTGGTGACTAAGGTAAAAGAGAAACTTAGTAAATGGTCCAACAGGAAACTGAGTTTTGGGGGCAGGCTTCAGCTCATCGAATCTGTCCTATTCAGTATCTTTAGCTACTAGAGTAGGCAACTTATTTTGCCTAAAAGGGTCATTAAAGACGTTGAGAGATTATGCACGAGGTTCTTTTGGAAGTGATGTGATTCCCCAACTAGAGGAGCACGGGTCAGCTGAAACCAGATCTGCTCTTCGAAATCTTATAGAGGCTTGGGATTGAGGAGTTTGACAGACTGGAGTAAAGCTTGATGCCTTCTACTTATCAAGAAAATTTTGGCAGGTGAAGGTTCTCTCTAGATTGCTTGGATAAATGCCTACTATTTCAGAACTGTTGATTTCTGGTATGCTGAATACAAGTCTCATTTTAGTTGGATCATAGCTAAGCTGTTCAAAATGAGAAATGAAGATGCGAGGTTATTTTGCTCCAATAATAACTGAACCAAATTAGAGCCAGTTAGATATGGGATAATATTCGAAGTAGGAGTGAGAAGGTATGCTAGCATCGCCTTGTGTGGTTTCCTGGCCATATTCTAAAATTTTCACTGATTTCATGGATGGTTATCTTGGATAGATTGCCTACAAAAGACAGATTAGCTAGATTTGGTATAACAACGGACAGTGTTTGTAGATTGTGCAACTTTGGTCTCGAATCTCGTTTTCACCTTTTCGCTGAGTGTACTTATGCTTATGAAGTTTGGTGTGCTATCTTGCTTTCATGTGGTCTTAACCAGGCGCCTCTTGTTTGGAATGATTTTCTTCAATGGTTGTTGCTTAACCTTAAAGGAAAATCCTTGCTGGTGCATATACTAAAGCTGACTTGGACTGGTTTTATCTACTGCATTTGGGAGGAATGAAGTTATAGGCAATTTAGAGGGTGCATTGCTCGGTTGGCGCTGTTGTTAGTAGTGTTAAAGAATCAGTTAGAATCAAACTGTACAGGAGCCCTATGAATAGACTAGATACTGTAAATAGATAATTGTGTATAGATTGGGGGCAGGTATAATGACTTGATTTATGTTTGTAGCAGTTTGGCTGCATTCTTTTTGGATGAATGAAATTCTACTTATCCAAAAAAAAAGTAGGGATGGCAAACGGGCGGGTTGGGTGCGGGTACTCCCTTCTCATCCCTATACCCGCCTAATATTTTTCAATCCACCACCCACCCACCTCCCATGATGAGTAAAAATTTTCAAATCCACACCCGCCCATGTGGGTACATTCTCAAATCCATCCCCACACCCACTACCCACCTAATAGGGGATGCATCATATATGTGTGTAATGTTTCGTACTTCAAGCTCAGGCCAACGATCAGTGACAACTCAATATGGGGCTTGCAGACTATGTTTTGCTTGAATAAATATGTTAAGCAATAAACTTCTCGTATCTTCGGCTTGCTTTATAAATTATAACTATGTTATCCAACAAGAAAATCTATATTATATTATAAAAGAAAGAAAACTATGTTTTTTAGTAAAATAGGAAAGGGCAATTGAATTACACGCATATGATTTAAGGACATTATATATTTATATTTCTCTATCATCTGCTTTCTTTGAACTAAACTATTCCATCAAAATCATGAGAAAATATCATCAAATTTAACCAAAACAAAAGCTGAGAACAATTAAGTTTTGTCGAAGCAAATTAAGATGATTTAAAACCTCCAAAAATAGCAGCTTTTCAGAAAAGAGAATACAGTATAGGCCCTTTTTAAATGAGCAAAAAAAATTACAGCCTTTTAATCATAAACGATAAGAAAACCATATCATTAAAAAGATTTCTCTTCAATCCATTTACTTATCATAAATAAATGTGAAAGATGTGGGTAGAACATTCATTTACTCATCTATTTATATGTTAACAGTAAGAAAAGTAGTAAATTTGGTGTTTCATTTTAAGATATAGTTTAGGAGGTTCCTAAAACAGGATTCTCGGTAGAGATTAGAAGAAAAAAACAAATAACATTACTATATCGAACTAAAGAAGCTTACTTGACACATCCCAAAAAAAAAAGATGCTTACTTGACCCTATATAAGTTTTTTATGTCATTATTCTAATGACAACTCTACAGTTAGTAAAAGATAAAAAAAATATAAATTTAATTTTGGGGATAAGAACAGGGGAAAGTAATATTGCACAAGGAAGACATTAAATCTCTTAACACTTAATTCTATTCAGTGGCGTTAAAAATGGAGGTTTCAGAAGCAACGATCTGACTCTGTTGGCCTAAACGTGGGTGCTCAGTAACAAGATATTGATTTGCAGAACATTAAGAAATTAAGCTTAAAACAAACATTGAGATGAATCTAAAAAATAATTAAAAATTAGTACGAGCAAATAAAAATTAAACTCTTAAAACGAAATGTAGAGGAACTTAAAACGAAATGACTATGGAAATGACTCTTACAAAAATTAAATTTCAAGTAAAAAAGGAAGAAACGTACCTGAATAAGCTTGAGAGTGGAGACCAGAGGTTTAAAAGATCGGCGCAGTAACGAGAGTTTGAAAGAAAAAAAATTATGCATAAACTTATCCCTAATATTTGGTTAAATTACAAGTTATATCTTATACATTATTAGGATTTATAAATTAGTCTCTAAAATTACACCTAAATTCATAATGATCCAAAATTTAATAGATATTTAGTTGGGCGGGCAGATGTGGGGCGGGCGGATGCTGGGCGGGTAAGGTCTCAAACCCATTACCTGCCCACTACCTGCGACGGGTTCCACTTTCTAAATCCACACCCACTCACGACCCACTAAAATTATACCCATCCCCGCCTCAATTGGAACGAGTACGGTGCGGAATCCACGAAATTATACTCGTTTGTCATCCCTAACCATAAGAGCGATATTGATGATCATACGAGAATAATAACCACAACGATTAACCTAAAAATTGTTTTTAAAATTTTATTTTTACAGACTCGAAGTTATTTTAAAAAATTATCCAAACTCGTATTTTTATATATAGAGAAAATTTTAAAGTATTATTATTACTAATATTGTGAAAAAGTAAAAAAATATATAATAAATAGAGTTAGAATAAAGACATATTTGTCATTTAATTATTTTTTTTTATTTTTTTATTAAGCTAAGGTGATTATAAAATATTATATGTTTTAAATACTCTTAATCATTTGACAATAAACATTCAATCACATTGTTACAATCGCTGGTGTTTGAACCCGTTACCTCTAAGAACAACAATGATTCTTTTAACCATTGAAGTAAGTTGGTTCGTATTAATTATATTTATTTTTAAATATAATACAAGAGATGTGTCATTATTCTAGTACGTTTTGCAAAATATTTCAGTCTAAGTCTTATGCTAAATATAATTGGATGTCTCAGGTACGACAGTCTTAATATAAGGTTAAGGAAATATGCTACCGGAAATGTTAATATTCTTTTAACATTTTCGGTAAAACGCTACTTAAAACATTATTTTTTTCTACCGAAAATATTAATATTGTGCACTACCTAAAATGTTTAACATTTCCGGTAAAATGCTACCTAAAACATTATTTTTTTTCTACAGAAAATGTTAAAATTGTGTTTTATCAAAAATTAATTAGCGAATTAACATTTCTGGTAAAAATAATATTTTGGGTAGCGCTTTACCGAAAATATTAAAAAGTATTAACATTTTCAATAAAATCTTTCATTAGTCGTATATTAAGGATATCGTATAATAGAACTACCCTAATTATATGCTTCTTTCTAAATATTGCACAATCTTAAAATAAAAAGTCCATACATTTTTATATAAAAAAAAATCAAAGTTCATATTTTTGTCAGTTTTTAAAAACTTTGATAAATTTCTTTCATAGTTATGATAATTGTTGCAAACTTTTTTTAGTGAAACAATTAATAATTATTCTTGTTACAACAAATCTTATAAATCATCCAATAAATTATATTAAAATGTCAATTCTAGTTACACATGTAATGGCCTATCATTTTTTTTCGAGAAGTTCTGCGTACGACAATTTTAATATACGACTAAAGAAATATGTTACCGAGAATAATTTTAATTTACTATCTTTTCTTGTGTGTTTTATTTTCTCTCTCTTTGTTTATTATATTTTGCTATTGGGACTTCATTACCCTTTTATTTTGTATGTTATCATTTTATTAGTGAAATATGTTATCATTTTATTAGTGAAATAAATAACACGGGCATGATTTTTAAAATATAATTATTAACATTTGTCAAAACATCATTTTAGTTCTTATATTTTGGAACACTCCATTTTTAGTCAAAATAACATATATTGAATGAAATGTATAGTTAATTAAGGATTAACTCATGTTACTGACGTGATAATTTTATACGTGTTTAATTATTTATGTATTATGTAATATGTAACCTAAAGTTATGATGTATCACATTAACATCATATCGCCTTCGAGTGATGACATGTTATATGTTGAATCAACAAATAATTATACATAAAAATGTCATTTCAACCGTATATATTGCATGCTAGTCAACTAATGACTTTCATCTAACAATTTCTATTGTAATAAAAAAAAAATAAAACATTGAGAATTAATACACTCTAATAAAATAAATAAAAAAATTAGTTGATCCTATTTTCATATGTAATGGGGTAAGGGGGAGGTAGGATAGTAGGCTGTCCCCAAAGCCAGGTTGAGAGCAGCTTCCGTACAAGACCTTCGGCGGTCATAATTATGAATTGCCCACCGTGAGACTCGATCCCACGATCACAAAATTAAAAGCATTGCGCTCTACCAACTGAGCTGGATAGGCAATTCTAATACACTCTAAAATAAAATAATGTAAAAATGACTATTCTAACAAATATGAAAGCTAATTTTTATCACAGAAAAAACGTTTAAATATTAACTTCAGTTGAAGCAATGAGAAAAAAAAATGAAAATTTATCAACAGGGAAAACTTTTTCTTGTAGCTACCGCAATTATTAAAAATCATTTTCCTTTTAATGGACTAAATTATTTTTCCCCATAAATATTATACAGACAATCATTTTAATTTATATTCGTGTTTAAAAATATTTTAAACTTGATATTTCAATTTTTTTGTTAAAATATCCTATGGAATGAATGAATTAATGGACTAGCTAACAATTCATATTACTAATATGATATTTTGATATGTTTAAATGACGACGTGATGTGTACTTTTTCGCTCGAGATAATATTGTTACAAGTGACATATCATCTAAAGTAATACGATAATATATATTACGTCTTCCATAATGTTGACAAATAATTGTATCAAGTCCGTAATTAAATACTTATTTGTGTTAACAATACTTGTTCGATGCTAGTTAATCAACGGGTTTTTTATATAAGATATTTTAATCAAATATTAAAATATTAAAGATTAAAATACTCTTAAAGAAATAGAGGTTAAAATGAATATTTTTACATAAATTTGGGTAAATTTGTCATTATGATGGCCCCCTACACTTTCAGCATCGAAATCTCCTAGGGACGCTTGGATCAAGTTATGTGAGATTATCAAGGGAATAAAACGTGATTTCCCCGTTTGGATTGTAAAGATTCTCAACCCCGATAATAAGTTATTCTCAATAGTGGTATTTTGGAGGCTTATTATCGGGAATATGATTCCTCATTCCATTAGGTATTGTTATATTTCTGATATTTTGGACTAAAATGCTCTTATTTTTTTTTTCAAAAATATCATTCTTCTGTCGTTGAATATAAAAAAATATATGAAGGTTAAATTACAAATTTATCCTAAAACTATTTTAGATTTACAAAAAAATTCATAATTAGAATTTTATATGAAGTTCATGAGTTAAAATAAAATTTTACCCTTTCATCAAACATATTTATATTTTCAATTTTATAAAAAAAATTATATAAATTTTATGAATTTAAAATTTTTAAAAAATATATATAAATTAATTATTGTATAATTTAATTTATTAAAAAAATAAATATATAATAAAGTCAATTTGGTAAAATATACATTCTAATAATCTTTTTTCATTTAACCAAACATTGTAATACTATATTTCTGCTAAATAAACCAAACACAACAATAAATTGTAATCTTATATTTCTGTTAAATAAACCAAACACAACAATACAATATTCCCAATAACATATTAGATAATATTACATTCCAATAATCTTATTTTCGTCGATAATTTTAGATTACGAAAACCAAATGCAGCCATAATATTTTACCCCAACACAACGACGATAATTTACCCTTCAATGTCCTTTTCAAAGCTTTCATCTTTTCCTCCTTAGTGTTTGCAATTTTTTTTATTATTAATCAAAAAAATAATTTTCTTTGAAAAGAAAAACATATTCGATCATATCGCAAAAACCCCAAATCTCGATCTTTTCACCCACATTCATTTAATTCAGGAAAAAATCAAACTCTTTTTTGCAATCCCTTTTCAGATTTGGATTTTTGTTTATCCCACTCTTACGTTTAACTGAATTTCCCCCCACAAAATTCGACCCTTTTGCCTCCATTGTTTGTTGAGTTCCCTTTTTTTTCCCACTTTTTTGTTCCCTGAAAAAATCGGTTTGTCCGTGCAATCAGGTAAAGGTAAGTCTTTGATGTTATAATTGTTGTTTTAACCTTTTCTTTTTAATTTTCTTTATTTGCAGTGATTGAAGAAGAGAAAATTGTTAAAAAAAAAAGGATGTTGATTGCTAAAAAAAAGTGTTTTTCCATTTGGTTGTTAAAAAGGCTTAATTAATTAAAAAAAAAGGCGGCCAAATGTTTGCTTCCGATATGAATCCGGCGAGGGATGCCGGCAGATTTTCCACAGCAGGCATGGTGTTGTTTCCAGTTCAATTTACATGGCTGTATGGTGGAAGAAATGTCGCCGTATCCGGCTCTTTCAATGGGTGATACTAATCACTTCTCTTTCTTTTAACATGCTATTGATATGAAATTTAGGCTTATGATTAGTATTTGAATTGATGGTTAACCGTTTGAAATTGAAGGTGGACTGAGCTCGTGCGAATGTCTCAGGTTGAAGGTTGTCCCAATGTGTTTAAAGCCGTTTGTGCCGTGCCACACGGTTCTCATGAGGTGGTGGTTAGTTTGCTTATAGGAATTGGAAATTTAAACTTGTAGGAACATTGGTAATTTCTAACATCGCTGCTGTGACTTACATTTTTCTTGAATTATCCGTATCTGAAACGCATTTTCTGATATGACTACGGCGATATAGCCCTCCAAATGCTCATTTTGGAAATGTATCCGTGTTTGACACTTACACTTGAATCTGAGTAACTTTGATTTTTGATATGTTCAGTGCGCTTATGTCATTGCCTGCCGCTTTTATTAGTTGAAATGGGTGGATATTTAGGTTTGAGTGCTTTATTGTCAAGCAACTTCTAGAGCATGTGAATCCAAATCTCTTTGCCGTGACCATTTTCTGTATTTTATTTGATCATTTTTGTTGGTTCTTATGTGCAGTACAAGTTTCTTGTTGATGGTGAATGGCGACATGATGAACAACAACCTCATAAGAACGCCGGCGAATATGGAATGGTTAACACTTTTGACACTCGACCCGTACCTGCAGAGGTCGTCCCTCAGGTACAACCTTGTTCAGAGATTCTTAATAACATTGTCATGGCATAGGTTTATACATCACGTTTTCCTGGAAGTATTTTTCCCTTTTTAACCTAGCTTTGCAATGGATGTAAAAAATTTGACCTAGATTGGCTTAAGTTTACATTCAAACGCAATTCCAATCGCAATGTCAAATGGACACTAATGATTTCTTTTTTTATATATATTAATTTAACTGTCAGAGATTGGATAGGCCTTGCAAGCACTGTAGTCTTTTCGGTTTTGGTGCTTTCATTTTAGTTCTTCGTTTACACGCAGTACATACATCATCTATTTATTTGTTCATTTATTATGTCCTTTTACTTTCTCTTGTTAGTGGATTTTTGATACCTTTTTGCAATTCCAGCATCAACTTTCTGCAGTTATATTAAATCAAGCAATGCCTAGGATTTCAGAAGAGGATGTACAGGCTGCCCGTCATCAAATCTCTGCATTTTTGGCCGCACATACGGCTTATGAGTTACTACCTGAGTCAGGCAAGGTTTGGATGCATTCCTATTGGCCCTCCTTGATGACATACAAATTTCTCTGCATGACATGATACTTCCGGTTTGCTAATTTAGACAGATCTTCCCTGCAGGTTGTTGCCTTAGCTGTTGATTTGCCCGTAAAACAAGCATTTCATATTCTGGCTGAGCAGGTATCTGTTTAGTTCTTTCAGAGGTTAGAATTTAGTTACTGGTTTGGGGATATATGTGCTGTTCCTGATCATTTTGTTGGTTAAGATTTGTTCTGAAAGATAGGGAGGAAATGTCTGTACTTTTACTTTGCTAACCATTGTCTCCTAGTGCCTTTTCTAGCCATAGATGCATCTAGATTTCTCCAAGGATATTACTTGCATTCTTGGTTATATGCATGCCTATTTAGTTGTTGCTGATAAAGAGCGTGGATACTTATCTTTTCTGACTCAAGCCGTTTTCAGGGTATCCCTGTGGCTCCTCTTTGGGACTTCGGCAAGGGGAAGTTTGTTGGAGTTATTAGTGCTTCGGATTTTATTTTGATTCTGAGAGAGGTATGTTCATAATGCGTTATATACCTTTTCTTTGGCTAGGAAGTCTTCCAAACACTACTGAGATTTTTCATTTCCTTCCGATTCCAACTAACTATAGAAAGTTACTCAGTATTAGACCAAGTAATTGCCTGTTAAATTGATTTTATTTTTTGTGTATTCTCTTAATGCATACTCTTTATGCAGCTTGGAAATCACGGATCAAACTTGACAGAGGAAGAGCTTGAAACACACACTATTTCTGCTTGGAAAGAAGGAAAAGCATACATGAATGGGCAAGTTGATGGGCACGGAAGACCAATTCCAAGACAAATTATCTTTGTTAGTGTTTTAGTGCTTTGTTATAGATAATAACTTATGAAAGATATTATTATGCACCTGTATGCATGTGTTCTGTTTGTTTTTGCAAATGAAGCGAGCTGTTTCTCCATTCATGTTCTTATGTTTGTGTTTTAGTATAGACATATGCCTACATTATCTAGGTGTAGTGCGAGTCAAGGTCTGAATGGTGACCACAATAAGTCGATATTTGTTTTGCTATGATATATTGCTGGAATCTTATTTTAGCTCAACTTCCAATGTGGTTGTAGTGCATTTTTACAAATTATATTCAATGAGAAAACAAGTTCGTGCTGTGTCAAGGGATATATGAGTGGTGTTATTCATCCCTCTTGTTGGTTATGCAGGCTGGGCCATCTGATAATTTGAAGGATGTAGCTTTGAAGTTTTTGCAAAATGGAGTCGCCACAATTCCTGTCATTCACTCATCGTCAGAAGATGGTTCATTTCCCCAATTATTACATCTCGCATCGCTTTCTGGAATACTAAAATGTGCGCGTTTTAATAGTGTTGTCAATAAACAATTTGTTTTTCTCTTTTATTTGTTGAAAGGTAAATGGCTTCTTTGTCCCTGACCAATGGGGTTTGATTTCTAGGCGTATGCAGGTATTTTAAACATTGTTCTGGCTCCTTCCCCATGCTACAATTACCGATTTGTGCTATCCCTCTGGGTACATGGGTTCCGAGAATCGGAGAATCCAACAGTCGTCCATTTTCTATGCTGAGACCTAACGCTTCTCTTAATTCAGCATTAAACATGCTAGTTCAAGGTATGCTTCCTGTTTTGTCATCATTTTACCAATGTGTAAGGGAGTGAATAAGGAGAACTAGGTTGGGTTTAATTCCTCAAGAGACCGGCACAAATTGATGAGAGATATTATCGTATTTATGTGTTATATATTGTTATGACGAGGTTTTGCTGTTTTTCTTCTCAGCTCGTGTAAGTTCAATACCTATAGTGGACGATAATGACTCGTTACTAGACGTGTATTCTCGGAGGTAAGATGTCGTTCTTGATTGATTATCTTTCTAGCATGCAAAACTTACAATCAGCTTGGATTGAAGGTGATTGTCATTCATAATTTTCTATTTCAGTGACATAACAGCTTTGGCAAAAGGCAGAGCTTATACACATAATCTAAATGACATGACTGTTTATCAGGTAACTGGTTTAACTTCCGTTTTTCCTTTTCCGTTTATCGAATCATATAAATGTTGACTAATCTGGCTAACATTGAACTTGGTAAAATGAAATGGTTGAAAAATGAAATTATTCAGGAATACACATTGAATTTTTGGTAGTACCTCCAAGATAAAAAAAAGTCTGATTGTTCCAGAAGAAATAAAACAAAAGATACAGTAGAATTAGGACAGCTGTTGTATGAGACCCGATGCTAATTGCAGATCCGATCCTAATATTTGGAAACCTATAATATTCTTATATTGCAGAAAACTAGTTACCTAATCCGTTTTCTCTGTTGTTTGATTAGGCATTACAATTAGGACAAGATTCTAACACTCCTAATGAGCTGAGGAGTCAAAGATGTCAGATGTGCTTGCGTACCGACTCGTTGCTTAGAGTAATGAAACAATTGGCAAACCCTGGTGACCCTCTCCCCCCTCTCTTAAACACTGAAACAAGATCCGTGACTTATCGTTACAATTGTTGCAAAAGTATTGTCATATGATGTTATTTTTCCCATAATCTGATTTTCAGGTGTCAGACGGCTCGTCATCGTGGAAGCCGGAAGTAATCGTGTAGAAGGCGTTATCTCGCTGACCGATGTTTTCAGGTTCCTGCTTTGTTAGTCCGAAATAATCGCAGATGAAGTATAAAGGAGGGGTGAGGCTTTGCAGTGGCATTTGGACTCCCCCATGTCTTGCAGGTGCAATTCCAAGCCCCCGTTGTTCCGAAGAGACTGCAATACTTCACACAGGTGAATCGAGTCATGTCGAATCAAAACCTCATTAAACCGTTGGAATTGACCACTTGCTTTCTTGCCTGCATATTATTATTTTTGTTTAAAATTTTAGGCCAAAGAGGCATCATTTGTAAATTTAAGATAATTTTCATTTTTTTTTTTGCTGCAAAATTTGTTCATCTATCCATCCCTTGCAAACCAAATGTTTGACCATGGTAGATAGATGGCCATTATCCAGCAGGGAGTTACATGACCTGTGGCTGTAATTGTGTTTTGTTTTTGTTATAAGTACAGATATGGGGAGGATATTTAACTTTACTGAATTATTTAATTAGTCGCCCCCTCTTAAAAGCTTCAACAGCTGGTTGACCAAAATGAGGATCCCAAATTGCATGAGCAATCGGTCTTACATGTGAAGGATCCTGTACCCATGCCTCAAAATTTCTCTCCCATCCCCTTTACAACATAGGTGGATCTATCAAGTTGCCGCCAGAAGCATAACCCCGTCTTTCTTCAGCTAGTCGCTCCAAATTGTTCCAAAGCAACTAAAAAGTCCTAATTATTTTAAATATATTCATTTTGGGTCGGTTTCGAGTTTTATCTCAAAACCTCGAGTCGGGTGAAGTCACCCTTAAACTCGTGTCGAGTTTTGGGTGGAGATTTTATATTTTTGAGTCAGGTCGGGTTGACCAAGAACCTAATGCGACTCATGCTCATCTTTATTCTTGAATGAAAATCGTTAGTTAACAAATAGTTAATGTTTTAATATATGACTTTTTTATCCTAAAATAAAAATTTAGGGGTTAAAATGCTCCAAAAAAATCAAAATGACGATTTAATCAAATCTTACGAGTGTTTTTGCTCTAAAATAAATATTGAAGGTCAAAATATTTATAAAAAAAGAAAAAAAACATGAATAAGAGTTAAAATGATTATTTTAATAAACATTGAAAATTATTTTTTACTCCTTCCCACTCTCTCTCTATATATTTGTTGATTAAGTTTAGAATACTTTGATTTTAAAAAGTAATTAATATCATTATAAAAATATTTAAAAACACTATTTGAGAGTTAAAACCAACATAAATGGATTTATAAATCTAAATTCTCTCACTAAACCACTAATGATTTATGATTAGAGTTGACAATAAGATATTCAGCTAATTCGATTTGACTTGAGAAACATATTTTATTCACTTTAATTTGGTTTTATTTGAGTTTAGAAAAATTTCATTTAATTCGAAACTTAATTCAAATTTTAAGGTTAAAAATCGTATATGATACGATCTAATCTGACATATATAAAAATATTTTTATTAAAAATAAGAATTTAATTATAAAAGTACAAAAAAGAGAAATATTATAACAATTATTTTAAGAGAAAATAACCTCAGTGACCGAAAATTCTTTATAATATACGATTTTGACCAACTTTTTTTCGATTTACCAAAATGACCAACAAAATCGCAATGCGATCTCTAAATCGCAACGCGATCTCCAGTATAGCAAATCAGTTTCCAGATTCGCAACGCGATTTTGACTATCGCAATACGAATATGTAAATCGCAACGCGATTGTGACTATCGCAACGCGATAATACAAAATCGCAATGCGATTTTCAAAGCGCCATTAGTATCGCAACGCGTATTTTATTTTCAAATTCCAAACACGAATATTAATATATCCCGTAATCGCAACTCTTAACCTAAAACCCTAAATCACAACTCAATAACATCTCCATCTCTCACTCTCTACGGCGACATCCGTCCCCATCTCTGACGAAATTCATCCCCATCTCTAGCGAAATCCGTCTATCTCCATCTCTCAGAGCCACCCTCACAATCATTCACGATCAGAAGTGGAAAATCAACCACCGAGGGTTAGTTTTTTTAATTATTTTTATTTTGAAATTTTTGCATTATTATTAGGTTTTTCATATTGAAATTGATGATAAGTTTACTGGTAATTTCAATAATAGATTAACCATTTCACTTAGATTGCTTATTAAATTCATTCGATTGCTATCAATACTTCTAAAATGTTTAGTCTTTAACCCTGTAAAGTTAGTATTTGTCTTTGTTTTGTCTTTTGGTTGAAGTAATGCAATTCATTCAAGTTTCAATTTTAGACAATGGACTATTTGAAACCGAGGATCGCAACGCGAAATGAAAATCGCAACGCGATTTTAGTTTCGCGTTGCGATTTTCATTTAGAGTTGCGATTATCTCGTTGCGATAGTCAAATTCGCGTTGCGATAGTCATTTTCGTGTTGCGATTTTCATTTTGGTGTTGCGATTTTAAGTTTCAGAAACTATTCTTCTTCTGCAAATTGAAACTTGAATGAATTGCATTACTTCAACCAAAAAACAAAGACAAATACGAAATTCACAGTGTTGCAAATTTAAGTTTGAAGAATAAACTACTACTACTCTTTATGTTTATTATTGTTTTTGGTATATCTTCAAAGTGTAGTTTTTGGTATATCTAACTTGGTATGTTTATTGTTTTTGTAGAACTTTTTTTCGGCTCAATTGACCTTAAGGAATAAAATAAGCCTAGTCACTACAATTACGTCGAAGCTTTCACCTGTACAAAGAAAATTGTTTGAGGATACTTGCTTCGGGCCATGGCTGAAAGTACAACATCCGGGTGGAGATGCTATGTTGACCCATTTGTGGCTTTAAACCATGACTAGCGATCTACCCGAGAGTATAAAATGTGGTAATGAAGAGATATGGTTTCATTTTCCACCGGCGTATACGTGTTTTGGGCGGGAGGAGTTTTGCTTAATCACTGGTCTACGCTTTGGACACGATGATTTAGGTCGATACACTAGTCATATTACCCGCCCATCATGGTTATCCCGCATTTTTCCTGAGCTGTCAATGGAGAAGCCAAATTTACACGTCGACGACTTGACGAGATTATTGAATAAGAAAGATGATTTTACTCGGATGGATGACGTCGATGTTGTCCGAGTATGCCTTTTAGTACTTTTGCATGCCAGCTTTTTAGGCAGAGAGGTCAGACAACCTATTCCTAAGGACCTAATATTATTGGTAGAGGACCTAAATGCATGGAACCTGTTTCCGTGGGGTTCCTATCTATGGAAAGCTACCTGGAATAAGTTGTCGTCTGCCTTTGATGACCGTAAAAGTTTGTGTGGCGATGGTTCCAAATACACTTTGTCAGGCTTTATTTGGGCCTTTAAAGTAAGAATTTCTATATAATGTTTCCAAAATTATAATTAATTATTTAACAATTACTAATGTTTGTGTATTATATTGTTTGTAGATTTGGATATTTGAGGCTTTTCTCGACATGCAGACATATGCATTAAAAACTTCAAATGATATTCCTAGAGTTATTTCCTGGAAGATGAAACGGCGGCTGTTGATTTGGGAAGAGTTACTACGGTATACGACAATAAATGATGTAAGTTAACACAAATACTACCATATATAAACAAGTTATTACTAGTACACGTTTAACTTTGTTTGAGCTTTTATATTGTTATGAGGCCAACACTCCATTACAGAGGCTGACACCCACGGAGGCTGAGCTTGCCACTGATTGGTGGCAAGCTAGTAAGCGTTTTTTTATGGTACAGATAATGAGCAACCTCCACTTCGAGAGTCATCACCTCACCCAGAACCATCACCTGATCGACCACACTATACACCTCTACAACGAGAGTCATCACCTATTCCGTCACATCATCGAGCCTCTTCTCCACCATCACCTCATGATAGGCGACCGGTAAAGATGCCACGACATTTATCTCCCTGTTCTCCACCTCCACATGATGAGTTAGGGGAGTTACGTGATGAGGTCAATGCCTTGCGTGAGGAGGTCGATACTTTACGCGATGACAATGGTGCATGGCGTGATGAGGTATCTACTTTACGTAGTGAGGTAGCGGCTCTACGTGAGATGGTAGCATCGTTGTAGAATGAGGTTCATACTCTACGCAACGAGATAAGTTTAAGATTTTTCATATTTAACTTGATTTACTCGTAATTTCACTTAGATTAACCATTTCACTTAGATTGCTTAGTAAATTCATTCGGTTGCTTCCAATACTGCTAAACAGTTCTAAAATAACCCTGTGAAGTTAGTATTTGTCTTTGTTTTGTCTTTTGGTTGAAGTAATGCAATACATTCAAGTTTCGTGTTATGATTTGAAGTTTCAGAAACAATTCTTCTTCTGCAAATTGAAACTTGAATGGATTGCATTACTTCAACCAAAAGACAAAGACAAATACTAACTTCACAGTGTGGCAAATTTAAGTTTCAAGAATAAACTACTACTCTTTATGTTGTCCTTGAACATGCACTAAACCTATATGTTGTCCTTTTAAATGTTTATATAAGTGCTTACTTCTGGAATGTTATCTGATGCATTTTGTGAACTATGATAGAATAATGACTTGGGTGAATACCGTGAAAGTTTGAAACATATTTGTCTTTGTTTTCACTATTTAATATCATGTCTGTTTATTTACTGATTTATGTATTAATTTATTTTTAGCGGCTCGATAAGGTGGATGCTTTAAGTCGGGTTTTTCTTGTACGACGGGGTTCACGCATCAGACGGCGTGCACGTGCCATTACGTCTCCGTTCACCCCAATCGTGCGAAGACTCTGTAAGAAGAAGCTCGACTAATCTGTCATCGTTCAAGAGGCCTCTCCTATCGTTCAAGAGGCCCCTATCATCCCTCAAGAGTCCCCTCCCATCGTTCAAGATGCCCCTGTCATCGTTGAAGAGGTCTCTCCTATCGTTCAAGAGCCCGATTCACACGGCGTAATATGTCGAATTATTGAGAAACCCTCTCACGTGCCGGACATGATGGATGCATGTTGTCTTTCGTATGAGTTACTGGCCAGTACCATTCCGGTAGATGAAGTGGAGAGGAGAAAACTATCGGAAACAATTATGGATAATACCCTTTGGGCTAAGACCGCAGTTGATTTTTATCTACATGAGCGGAGTCAGGGGTGTTACGCTGACATATACAAACTCAACGATGATATACATTTGTTGATTGATCGGTCTTGGTGGGGTGTGTTATTAGGGGTTGAAGACAAAGGCTATTTCAATGGGGGGTAAGTCTTATATTTTTCTTATATTTCATTTTGATTAATTTTTTTTAAATTTATGTAATTCACTAATATATGTCTTTTTTTGTAAAACGGTATATTGATGCATGGGTGTCACGTCTTCTAATGATAAGGAAAATGAGGGAAAAAAATATGCGATATACAATTATACCGACGTCTTTTGACATAGTTCACTTGAAGAATCAATGACATGAATCATATGTGTTAGCTAATGGACAAGCTAAACTTTATCCTGCATGGTGGGAGGTCGATAAGGTTAATATTTATTTTTTTAAATATTTTAAAGGTGTTCATAAATAAGTGCGCAATTGATTTACTTATGATTGCAGGTGTTTATCCCTGTTTTGGAACGTACTCATTGGCTTCTCGTCGAGCTTCAGCTCCCATCCCTGAAGACAATAGTATATGACAGCATGATAAATTACATATCATTGTCTGATTTGAGAGATATTATTAAGGGATGGAGCTCTCATTTGGCTAAATTCTTGGATGCGATTAATTATTGGACTTATTCTGGAAACAAGAAGCCAAAGAAGTTCAATGTTATAGTTATCAGAGACGAGACCGCACCACAACAAACGCAGGAAGCTAGAGGGGATTGTGGTCCTCTCGTATGCATGTGCTTGGAGCGTTTGACGAAAGGAAGTACACAGTTTCTACCTCCCACCGATAGAGATAGAGGTGCAGTAGGCTTGTGGTTTCGGCATTTTATGGCTATAGCGATATATGCGAGACGTTGCCTACCTGCATCCGCGTTATGAAAATGTCCATAAACAATTTGTAAGTCAAATGCAAGTGTTGTTAAGTACCTAGAATTCAATAATAATTTGTTGTTGTTGGTTTTAGATGTGTAGAAAGTGTTGTTTGAGCAAATGTTTGGTTTCTGTAGGTTAATCCTCAAGTGAGCTGCGTGAAATTGATGTATGGGTGCATAAACAACTGTCTAGGGTACACTTTTTTTGATTGTTTAATTGATTCTTAAAAGTCTAATTTGTTTAATTGATGAGGAAAATAAGAATTATTAGCATTTTTTGCTTGTTTAATTGATTTGTAAAAGTTGATTTGTTTAATTGATGTGTAAATAATTCTTATTTGTGCTTGTTTAATTGATTGAAATGTAAAAGTTGATTTGTTGATTTCAATCTGCATCATATTGAAGGCAAAAGACCTGTTGAAGGTACACTTTCGCAACGCTAAACTCAAAATTGCAATGCGAAAGTCAAAATCGCAATGCGAAAGTCAAAATCGCAATGCGAAAGTCAATTCGCATTGCGATAGTCTAATACGATTTACGATTTTCTCGTTGCGATAGTCAAATTCTCGTTGCGATAATCAAATTCACGTTGCGATAGTCAAATTCGCGTTGTGATTTTTGCGTTGCGATAGTCAAATTCGCGTTGCGATATTCAAATTCGCGTTGCGATAGTCAAATTCGCGTTGCAATATTCAAATGAATGTGTAATAAGTGATAACAACTGAACAGATCATAGCAATGTTCAAACTCAAGTTACTAATACATGCCTAACTGAAAATGTTAAAAGTTTACACATAATAGTCAAATTCGCGTTGCGATATTCAAATAATTGTGTAATAAGTGATAACAACTGAACATATCATAGCAATGTTCAAACTCAAGTTACTAATACATGCCTAACTGAAAATGTTACATAAAATACACATAATACAACGTTTGCATTTAAAAATCACCTAAGTTAATAGTCCCAAAAGGTGAAGCCGGTTGTGATTGGATTTTGATTTTGATTGCGATTTTGATTGCCTTTTTCTTGACACCATATGAGCTTTGGATTTTGATGAGGATCCATATTTTGGTAGAGGAAAAGATGATTGTGATGGCACTGGTGATCCACATGTCAACCTTGTATGACCACTTTCCTTGCACCGACTACATGTCGATCTCTTCTTCTCTTCACCCTTAGACAGTATACGATCGTGACTTTTTGGTCAGCCAGGTAGCCTTCTGTCCATGGCTGGTGGCAAAACTGTTTGTAAGTCATCTGGTATGTCCCACTCAGAAGTATGTGGAATATGGTAGATAATCTCGGCATAAGTCTGTCGATATACTTCTGTAGTGTAGCAATCCATAGCGTATGCGCTTGAATCATCTTGATTTAGATAAAGAGCAACTTTTATAACATGGCCACAAAGATAACCAGATGTTTGCCATTTCATACAACTATACGTCTTTGCATTTAGATCGACAAGCACATTTAAGTTATTATCCAGTACTTCAAACAAAGTGTTTGAACATGGTTCAACTCTCCATGACGTTGACTTCACAACACGTTTCGTTATATTTTTTTCAGTCCATGGTGTAACACGATGTTCCAATGTTCCTGTAAATTTAAATAAATAATACTTAGTAAAATATATGATAAGTTACGAATTTAAAGAAATAATACATGCATGGTTTCTTTTCTTATAGTATCATTGTTGAATAGAGGCTCGAAAAAACTCCATTAACATAGTAATGGGTAATTTCCGGGAATGACGACTTAGAGCGTTGATTGATTCTGCACTATTAGACGTCATGAAACCATATTTTGCTCCAAGTTGATGTACTCTTGAACATCTTTCAAACCCGACATCTTCTAGTGTTTGAGCACACTGAGGCAAAACACGTCTTAAACAATTTATATGCTTATTAAAATCCACTTCCCGATAAGCTTTTACAACCTTATAGTATGTCCATTTATGATTTTTTATACCAGCAGACCTTGATTTTAGATTTCTATACAAATGAATACCACAAAGTCCATGAAAAGCATCTGGAAAACACCTTCTAACAGCGTTGTCAATTGAGTTTGCCCTATCGGATATGATTGTCAGATTGCTAATAGGACCTATGCAATCCCTAAGATGTCCCATAAACCATGTCCATGAATCAGAGGTTTCAGATTTGCCAACCCCGTAAGCTATTGGCAGTATCCCATTGTTAGCATCCATGGCTACTGCTAATAAGTTTACTCCAAGGTATCGACCTTTTAAATGTGCTCCGTCAACTATAATAACTGGGGGCATGCAAGTAATAAACGAACGAATCTACAAAATCATATACACAAGAAATATAATCATTTAAATGTGAAATGCACGTAACTAACAAAAATGAGTCAACAAAATTATATTGATTTACTAACAGCATCACCAATGGCGATAAACAGTAACTCAAAGCATCCATCTCTATCTGTTTTGATATGAGTTACCGACCCAGGATTTTTCAGCTTTAAATTGTGACAATAAGCTGGCAGTTGGGCAAACGATGCTTCTGGCGACCCCCTCAACAATTCCAAGGCATAACATTTGGCTCTCCAAGCTTGAGAATATGAGATACTAATCTTGAACCGAGCATTCATGTCAGTCATAATTTCATGTCCCCGATATACCTGCCATTCAAAAACATTAACTCAGCCAGAAAACCACCCAACACCTTTTTGTTTGCCTGTCTATGGTGAGGAAAAACTTGGGTTCTTGAACATGTATGTTTATCAATAAAAGTCCTAACTTGAAACATTTTGCAATCTTTTATCCTCTTTGTAATCATACGCCACGTACAGTTTTTGTCAATCATACACCTTGTTTCGAAACGATCTTTGCTTGATTTGTTAACTTTTAGTTGATAGCCATCTTCCACACATTTCGTATACAAAGCTATCTTCAAGTCTTCCTTTGTATCAAAACAATCATCTTTCTTGATACAAATAATTTTTGTGTAACAATCAAATGTTATCTTTACCAACTCTTCTTCCAGTATCTGAAGTAATTCTGGCATATTCCGGTTATACTCCCGTGGCATTTTCTTCGGGGATTTCTTCTTCTTATTTTTCTTCTTCAGGGTTATATGAATTACAGAATGGATGTTCAACATTTTCATTCACAGTCGTAACTTCCTCCTCATTATCATCAACAACATCTTCCTCGGCAGCGGCTGTTTCATCATCAAAATTCGGGTATTGACCAATATCAAAATTATTACACGCGGGGTGTGTTTCTTCTTCTGAAACATCATCAAAATCCGAGTATTGACCAAGATCAAAGTCCGGGTATTGACCAAGATCAAATTTCGAATACTGACTAGTACTCACAATTTTTTCTGTTGGCTCATCATCGTCTAATTGGTCAATACGAAAACCGGAATTTGGTGCTGAAAGTTTATTGGGATTTGGATTATGGGAAGGTTGTGGGTTTTGAGATTGTGTTTGGTATTGAAAATGTGGTGAAACAAAATTTGATTGGTGATGAAATTGTGGTGGAACCATTAAATTTTGAGCACCATAAACTGGGGTTGAAAAAGTTAGTTGATTACTACCCGCTACTGACCCAACTTCACTACTTCTAGGTTCAACAACATACAATGTAACATCATCTTGCGAAACACTAATGTAAGCAATGAATCGTTCAACATCTTCATTGTCGGTTAACAAATAAACTTTACCTTTTCTCTAATAAGATAGCCTAAATCCACTTAAGGGCTCTAAATTCAATTTATTTGCAACACGTAACATTATATTTTCATAAGTTAACTTTTTTAATGACAGTTTTAGTTGAAGATTCATGGGTAAAGGCATATATTGTAAAACACCATGAACATTCTCACATAACCCTCCAAAACACAAATCTATCCAAACATGATCAACATTAGATGATTTCATTATTGTAAATTAATTTACTAAACAAACGAGCTGCGAAATTAAAACCTGTTGCCGGATGGGGAAGGATGTCGTTGGATATAGGAACGGATATCGCCAGAGAGAGTGATAGATGGAGATGGAATGAGTTACGATTTAGGGATTTAGGTTATGAGTTGCTGCTGTTGCGTAGTTATATACCCCCAAAACATTTGTGTTGCGAAACTAAAACCTGTTGCGAATTTGAAATTCAGCGTTGCGACAGTTAGAATCGCGTTGCGATAGTCAGAATCGAGTTGCGATAGTCAGAATCCCGTTGCGATTATGTATTGCGTTGAGATAGTCAGAATCGCGTTGCGATAGTCAGAATCGCGTTGTGATTTACATATTCGCATTGCGATTTTCTAAAATTGCAATGCGATAGTCAAAATCGCGTTGCGAATCTGGAAACTGATTTGCGATACTGGAGATCGCGTTACGATTTAGAGATCGCATTGCGATTTTGTTGGTCATTTTGGCAAATCGAAAAAAAGTTGGTCAAAGTTGATGTGTCATTTTTTATTTTTTAATGATGATGTAACATTACCTTATGGTAACACATCAATATCATTGTTAAGCTTTTAACGATGAGTACCAAAATGAAACATAAACTAAATATTAGGTATGATTTTGAAATAAAATAAAATTTAAGTACCAAAATAGAACAAAAATAATAATTTAGAAACTAAACGTGTAGTTTACCCTTATATATATCAGTAACACAACTATAAAAGTTGAAGCATTTGGGTTTATTTTATGCTTAATTATAAAATAAGTGCTCAAACTATAATACTTTTCACAAATATGTGCTTAAATTGTTTTTTGAGTGGTCACGATACCTAACATTACAAACGTTATCATTTTAGGTGCTCGGTCTGTAAATGATGTTAACTTCCTTCGTTAAGTGACATGTGTCACATTTTAATAATTTTAAAATTTTTGTTTAAAATTAAAAAATTAAAATTATATTTAAAAATACAAAAAAATCCAAATAACCCCAAACCTTTGAAAACTTTCATTTCATGTCGGTCACTGCCCTTTGTTGTTGACGAAGCTCCACCTGACATCATTTCCCCCCGCAATCAATACCCCTATGTAACCAATCGACGACCAATCGATGTTTTGTACCCTGCGAACCCTAGGATGAAAATCGTCATCACACGTGATTTTGACAGCTAATCGGAGGCAATTACGATGACGTATGACTAGGAGGAAGGCGGGGACTACCTCAGCGGCAATAGTTGTGACCGAAAAGGACAGTAGTGATAGATTAGGATTAGGATTTAAGAATTTTAAAGATTTTATGGCTTTTTTTTTATAATTTAAGAGAAATTAGTTTTTTTTAATATAATTTTGATTTTTTTTAAAAAATCAAAATTATCATAATATAAAAGGTGTCACTTAACGGAGGAAATATATTTATAACGTTAGACACCATAATTATTAAAAAAAAATAGGTTATACATCTATTCGTGAAAAAGGCTAAAGTTTGAACACTTAATTTATAATTGGGTAAATTACAAATTTGATAACTGAACTTTCATGCTATTCCTATTTTACTCACCGTACTTTTAAAATTTTCAATTTGCTCAATCAATTTTATAGATTAAGTTTTTTTTGTCACTCTGCTATTATATCACTAACAACTTGTTGACGTGATTTATTTTAATATTAAATTTTAGCCACATAAGATGCCACAGAAGATTTCTATTTAATAAAATAAAAATTAATCATACAAAAAATCATATACAAAACCCTAACCCTAAATCCTACCACCAAAAAAATTACAAATTAATTAGATAGCCATGAAAGTCCACAAGCAACTTCAATGGAGATCTTATAAACTTGTTTCAAGAACCAAACAATCACAATTACTAATTGAAATTTACACCCAAAATCCTATACAAAACCCTAACCCAAATCCTACTGTAAAAAAACCAGGCAACCATGAAAGTCCACAAACAACTCCAATGGAGATCTTATAAACTTGTTCCAAGAACCAAAAAAACAAAAAAATGTTTTTGTTCTGTCTTTGAAATCCAAAAATGAAAATACCAAAAAATAAATAGGAGGAAGAAGAAGAATAAAGAGGAAAAATGGAAAAAATAAAAAGGATGAAAATACCAAAAAATCGTTTTTGATTTTCCTTGCATGTCTTCTTCTTCTTCTTCGTCGGCTCCAACACTAGTCAAGACACAATACCATCGCATGGTTTTTCTCCTTAGCTTACACAGTAGAGAAAATGAGAGGATGAAAAATAAGAATAAAGAGGGAAAAAGGATAAATGAAGGACAAAAAAGAAATATAATTTTTTATTTAATAAAAAAGAACGCCATTTTGGTCAAAATTTAAATTTATTAAAGATTCAAAATTACTTCATTTTGGTATATGTTTCCACGTCATAACGCCGTTAATTATTTAGTAGTGGAGTGACAAAAAAAGTTCAATATATAAAGTTTAGTGATTAAATTGAAATTTTAAAAACATGATGAGTAAAATGGGTATCGCATGAAAGTTCAGCTATTAAATTTGTAATTTACGCTTTATAATTTAAGCCTTATTTTTGCTGGAAAAACATTCCCACCCTAAGAAAGGCTTGAATTTTCTTTCCTCTCCTCTCTCTTTCATTGTCTTCATTGCGTCCGACAATGTTCAATCCTCGCAGCAACAAAAACATCACCAACTTCGTCAATCTTTTACGCATTGTCACAAACAATCCCTTCTCCAACAACCCATCACTGTTCTTCGCAGTTCGATTCATATCCAAATCCCCTTCCGATCGATCCGTATCTTTCACCATCTCTTACCTCAAAAACAAGCTCGGATTCTCGCCGGAATCCGCCGTCAAACTCTCCAAGTACGTCAATTTCAAAAGCCCGCAGAACCCAGATTCCGTCCTTAATATCTTCGAACAACACGGGTTCTCCAAGACCCAAATCCGACAAATCATCAAGACCCGACCCAATTTGCTCTGTTCCGATGTCCAAAAAACCATTCTGCCCAAAATACACTTCTTCCAATCTAAAGGCGTCCGGGACCCAGAAATCTCCAAGCTCTTCTTTTACAATCCCTGGCTGTTTTGTCGTAGCATGAAGAAACAGGTAATCCCTTGTTTTAATCAACATAGTGCTCTCTTAAAATCCGAACTGAAGGCTGTTATAGCTATCAGGAGAAATCCTTATCTAATCACGTCTAATTTAGATGCTTAACTGTTGCCTAACATCAAAACTTTGATCGAAAATGGAGTGCCGGAATCGCATATCATATCGATGTTTAATTACCATCCGGGATCTTTCATTAAGCTGCCGGATCGGTTTAAGGAGGTTGTGAAGGAAGTTAAGGAAATGGGGTTTGATCCTTTGTTGGATGAGTTCGTTCAAGCTGTTATCATGTTTAGAAAAGTGAGCAACCTGCAATGGAGAGTAAGGTTGATGTTTTTAAGAAATGGGGTTTATCCGAAGAAGATATTTGGGAAGCTTTCCGGAAGTATCCCGGCGTTTTGGAAGCTTCGAAAGAGAAGATCGCGGCCACTATGGATTTCCTAGTGAATGAAATGGGGTTCCAGCCTTTGACCATTGTTTTCCAAGAGAATATTTTCGCTCGGAGCTTGGAGAAACGGATCGTCCCAAGGGGTTTGTTCGCTCGGGACTTGTTGAAAGGTTTGATTAAGGACTTGAGTTTTCTGACCTTGTTTGTAACTCCGGAAAAGGTGTTTATTCAGAGGTTTGTTAAGCAATACAAAGACAAAGCTCCGGAGCTGTTGAAGCTGTACCAAGAGAGACTTGAATCCACGGTAAGAGGCAATTATAAGATCAAATCAAGGTAGTTGTAGAAGATAACCATATTAGATCGAGCTAGTTATTCTATTATCCGATCTCAAGCTTGCCATGGATTGGACTCTTTTTAGCAGCATTCAATCTTGTTGTAGGTGAAACATTGCAGTCTGTTTTTTTGTGGTTTAATGCATCTCTGAAAACGATTCTCGATCGCTCAGAAATGCAATTGTTTTCAAGTTTGCTCTGTCATTCTACTGTTATTAAATTTGAAACATTATGAGACATCATTACAAGTAACGAGTAGATATTCATATATTTTGGAGGTTTTATGTTCAAATTCAACTTAATTTTTAGTGATTGCTTCAACTTGAGTTCAATCCCAGCATTATGATGCTGGCATAGAACGGCTAATCCCTTCTATCAATCTACTAATCAGCCTTTTCCGATCCAACTTGAATGCCGTTGCTGCCACGAAAGAAAATCGATCTCTCCTAAACTCGATTTGATGAGAAAACCCTTTGGCCCAAATCGAGTTTCTTTCGATCCAATGGTGCCTCTTACTGATGTTTTCAACATATTGTTTCAATCCCTTGTTAAGTATAATAGCTTGGACAGTCTGATAACCCCTTGTTTCAATCACCTGAGCATTGTTATCGTCAAAAGAGACCAATTGCTCGTTTACATGCTCGATAACGTCAAACTTTTGGAAGCAAATGGAGTGCCTGGTGACATTTAATGACAACCCCACCTGTTTTTACTAGGCTGCGGCATCATTTCAAGTACACTGGCTTGGACAGTCTGATAACCCCTTGTTTCAATCACCTGAGCATTGTTATCGTCAAAAGAGACCAATTGCTCGTTTACATGCTCGATAACTTCAAACTTTTGGGAGCAAATGGAGTGCCTGATGACATTTAATGACAACCCCACCTGTTTTTACTAGGCTGCGGCATCATTTCAAGTACACTGCCGGGCAAGGAAACGGGGATCGAGCCATTGTCAGAAAAGTTCATCCATGCTCTCATTGTGTTTACAAGTGAGGGATACGGAGTTCAAAGGAAATACACAAATTACACGGCATAATTTACTAGCCTACCAAATTTTATGTAAATATATCTTAAAACATGATTATGATACGAGAGAAAACACATAAACATAACACAAATACACAAAACTGCCTGGCTCTAGTTATTCAGCTAAACCGAAAATAAGAAGATAGGCAAAGACTAGAGTTTTTACTTGGTTAATTTGATATTAATTGATACATGTATCATTTTTATTCATATTAAAAAGGACTAAATAAAATTCGTTTGAGAGCTCATACAACTATGGAGGAAGAAATACAACATACCTGATTTTCATGTAGGGACTAATGCCAAAATCTGATTCCTAACAATTCCCATACACTTCTGTATCTCTGTGTAAATTGGTAGGTTCTGAGAACAAAACGGCTTCAAACTTGTAACAGCTGAATCTAGCACTTCTGCAACATCTCCTGGTGGAAACTGTCTTTCTGTACATTTCTGCATTTTTTTTGGGGAGTGAGATAACCGGAATCGGACATTAGATCGATGATGAATTAGAGACTGAAATATCAAGACAGGCTATGTACTAGACTAAAAAATGCAATGTGTATTATAAAATATTAATGGAAAATCCATCTACATATTTATTCTTTGTCGGATTTCAGCAGTTCATGTCGGTATTTAGATGGTTTTTCATCAACATCGTTATCAATTTTACTTGTTCGGGTAATTTAACTGCGTTCAGATGATAAAAGATCTACCATTATAGCCAAAAAAAAAAGGTTCTGTTAAGAACCATTGACACTAAGGAGCCAATAGGATAATTACCTGTATCATGAGCAAGGTGGCTACACAATTTGAAATGAGCTCCGAAGGTATTCTGAGTTCGTCTTGGTCGGACAAATTTTGCAGCTTCATCTCATCAGGTATATGACTGGTTGTGAATGGGTACGATGGATGCTCATGACTGCGGATTGAGTCTGTTGGGGCAGAAGACCTTGGAGCAGGTACACTAAACTCATCCACTGAAAGCCGGTTATTTACAAAATCTATTGCCTCCTCAATGCTCTCAATGCTTTCCCCCCCTTTTCTCAAAGATGACATGGCCTGAGATAGTAAAATTGAAGTTATTTGAAAATAAAGTAAAGGCCGAGGATTTGTCCTTACAAAGAATACATAATAACTATCTTTGAAGAAAATTCCGTCAACAAAATGCGATAAAAATATTCTAATGAACTATAGGTAAGCTCTACCACCAAAATCATGTACACATTTATAAAATTTACAACGTTAAGTAATGCTATCTGATAGGGTTTAACTTGAGGATTGCTGTGGCCTTGTATTTTACTTGGGATTGTTCATCTATGGCTCATTGGTTTTAGGAAGATGCTTTGATGTATATAAAAGGTGATTGTGAGTTGTTCGATTGTATAGGCTTACCTAGTAGTTCAAATTAATTCTAATTCTAATTCTAATCCTAACTATTAGCATGTTGTGTTAGAATAAAATACTATAAGGTAGTCTAGTTCTAGTAGGAAACTTACTCCGTAAATTGTATATAAAATAGGCTTGCACTCACCAGATTAATTATGCAATTTTGAGATTTGAGAAGAATAATATCTTCCATATCTCTCGGTTCTCTCGGTTATCTAAAGTGATACATAAAGTTCCAATGATGTGGACAATATTCAAAATGCTTAAAAGTTAAGAAGGGGCAAAAGGTTAAGACTCAAAAAAAAGTTGATATACAAACAGTTCAATGCCCTTTTTTTTACCTGCATAGCTGCATCAACCATCGACCGAGCTTTCCTTCTTGAGCTTTCAACAATTCCAGCCATATGGGATACAGATTCTTGGACATGTTGCATAGCATGATCAAACGAGCTCAACCCAGAGCCCTGCTCACCAATTTTAGCCGAGGGCTTCAAAAGCTTACCCGAGGAGGTCCCGTGATATGTATTACGTTGCCTCAAGCAGAACAGAGCAGAAGAAACCTGCAAGGAGAAGTTAGGATAAAATGGTAAATGACAATAGTGCATAGATTTGAAGGAAAACGGCTTCAGCATTGTCTCATGCCTGTTCATTGACTTCATTTAACTGTAAGAGAACAGCAGCATATTGCTTCTTGAAAGAATCTGAATCCTTTATGTAGTTGTCTCCAACTTTCTGGTTTTCAAAAACCTCATCATTCATTCGTCCCAGTTCAGACACCACGGCCTCCTGCAAATGCTAACACAACCTTAAGTTCACTTCTCCCATATTACTGAACAAAATAATTCGAACAAGATTCTATGTCAGCCTCAGATAAATACAATAGACATGAAACACAACTTACACAACACGATACAACAGTGAAAATCACAAGATTAATGCCCCAACATCAAAAAAAGGCATACACACCGTTTTATTAAAAGAGTAGAAACAACAGGGAATATGCTCACGTATTAAAAGTATGCAACATACACTGCACAAGATTATAAGAACTTAAATAAAAAGGAAAATAGAAAGATTTGCCAGTGGATCAAGTTTAATGCATAACAGCCAATAGGAACCTTTTTGTCAAGAGCACGAGTCAACTGAGAAAGGGCTTCAACATCAGCTTCCCTAGCCTGAACCAGCAACAGAGCAGAAGGCTGACAATTCATTGCTTGTTGACTATAAACAGTTTCACTAGGCCCAATTTTAAGTTGTAAATTAGGACTTGATGAATCGACCTGGCCAAAACAAATTATCACAACATTAGATAACAATTACTGTTTTTTATATCAAAACTTTTAGTGATAACCAACCTAGAACCGATTTCATTTGATATCCATGAAACGAGAACTATTTCGGAGTCATAACTTACCTTAACTGGCTGTGGCAAATTTCCAACACCAAAAATTGATGGTGAAGTACGAGAGGGACTAATAGCATTCTCCAGGTTATCACATTGTGTAAATTTAATGTTCTCTTCCATCTTGCTTTCTTTTGATTGTCCATTCATTTTGAGCTCATTGTAGTTCTCAACAAATTTACGGATGGCAGCATTTTGTCTCAAAAGGGAAGCAGGCAAACTTTCCAATGGATTTAAAGGCATACAATCAATATCCTGCAACGAAAAATATTATACTCATAAAAGTTGATAGGAAAGGACAAAGTATAATGTGAACAAGCTAAGTAAATTTAGTAAATGGCAGGGAATTATATATTAAACACAAATAACCAAATAGCTATAAGCACATCAACTTGTATATTTGGACAGGAGCTCTAAGGAACCTCCCAAAGCCTCAGATTGTCATTAATACATCAGACTGAGGCCGTAATGGTGATAAATTGCAGTTAAGCAAAATGAACATGCAGCTATCATATATGAAGCAACCTTATAGAATAAAAAGTTACCGTGACAAATTCCACTCCTAGCTCAGGGTTGTCAAACTGAATTCGGTATCTACCATAATCAACAGTTAACACACTTCCATCATGAATCTCCCAAGTTTTTGGATGAATGGCAATGACACGTTGACCAACTGATAGAGGTCGAGCTAAATCAGTTGGAAGTCCTTCACTAATTCCGGCACGAAGTTCAGCATAATGCCTTCTAACCGATTCCCGGTATTGGTTAAGCTTCTCCCTTTCTTCTTTTAAAAATTGATCAGAAAATCGGCGTGGTTTGCCAAGGGAACTGCATCAAGGTGAAATTGTATAAGTAGAGCACCACAACGTAAAACCTTATAAAGATTCCAAAGTAGAAAGTTATACCTTCTTATTACACCCCATTCAACACGTGTTAATCTAGGAATATGACCTAATCCTACATGATCCAAATACTCCATAAACTCCCGTTTAGCAAACCATGGATAATCAATTGTACCATAGAACCATTCAAAGATAAACCATCTCCGTGCAACGTATGAATTTAGGAAGTTACAAAGCTTTTCCTGTCATACAGAATACACATATACATGAAGAAAAGAAAACAATATTCAGAAACTGAACTTCACAGTAGTTGAAGTAAAAAGTGTTACCTTCAGATTGAGTGCTCCGCCATGGAATGACATGACTGGAGCACTAATTTTGTCCTTAACAATATTATCAGAGGACTTTATATCCTTCCTAATTGCTGGTTTCTGTGAACCCATCTTTCGCTTACTCCTGACCTTTGTCGGTAGGTTGACCTGGTTAACAGATGAAACCTGTATAGTAGACGGAGCTGAATTGTTCAAGTCCCTTCCTAGATCGGTACTGGAGGACGCATGCTCTGGAGGTCTCAAAGATTTCCCTTGCTTAGGATGTCCAATATTATTAGACCGATTACCTTTGCTAAGAAGATTCTTTACCTCATCGGCAACCTAAAAAATGCAAACAAAAATAGCAATATCAAAAAACAGCAATAAGTAATGAGCGGAAGAATGAACCTAAAACATATAAATTTATAAATTTTTCTACGCAAACAAATTGGTAGATATTTAACTTACAAAGAAGACCTCAAATGCGATGGTTGAAAGAGAGGGGAAAAAATTACTAAACAGGCTAGACATCTATACCAACATAGAGTGCCCGTGGCATACCCACAACTCCGTTGAAATTAAACTAAGTTGATCATTTACTTATTTCATAAATTTAGGTCTAAATTTGACATTCTTCCTAAATGGTCTCCATCATCAAGTCAAAACTTCAATTTATTCATTTCCTCCAGGCTCCATGTTGAAATAACTATTCCTTTCCAATTTCTCCCCATTATCTTCACTTCGCAAAAGACTTATTTAATACTTATCATAGCAGTCTCTTGTAACATTTATTATTATATTGCTTATTCTGTTTTCATATAAACTCAAGCTGTAGTGCCACATATACTCAAACCAAAAAGGCAAGAGATTTAGACATGCACCCACTTCATACTGTTCAATACACGTACTCTCAGAATTAAGAAGGCTTGATTAGTAAAATGTCCATAAAACATTCTGCAAAAGAAAAGTATCTTAAGATCCCATCATATCAATTAGGGAACTGAAATGAAATTTTATGTTAGACATTTATATCTTGTTTGTTCTTTTTACCTAAAAGCACCAACAAGAGCCATCTTAATTCTTTGAAGCTGAACACGTGAAAAATACAAACCTTGATGTTTGGAGATTCACCCAACTGAGAATCAGCATCATTTTCATCTTTTGGAATCTGCAACTAGAGAGCAAGTTGCATATGGTCGTTGTCTCATGTTATTTTTTAAAACAAAATGAATAAAAAATAAAGGATTTACCTACAAAAAAATAAGCAAACAGCAATTCTTACTTTATAAGGTGAGCATTTCTGTCTTCTTTTCCGCGTTCCAACATTACCCAGATGTGTTCGCTCCTTTGCTTCAGGAATAGCACGAAGATCATGACCAAAAAGTTTTCCATATCTAGATGTTTTGGAGGCATTGCCTTTCGCTCCAGGAACAGGATGATTTCCTTTCAGTTTAATCTTCTCAACTTCATTTTTCCCTTCCTTCAACTGCACAGATGACTCTGACGGGGAGGAAAACAGGTGGGATATGACACATTATATAAAGACATCCAAACAGAGAGACCTTCAAAAGTTTGAGTCATCAAGAAGGGACTTACGGTGGTAGTTAAAGCTAGAGAGTACAAATGGAATTCTTATGTTCAAAATTAGAATAGGATTTTATATTTTTCTAAGATTGCAAGATTGCACAAGGAAAAGATTATCTGGAGAATGAAAATGCCATTTGGAAATCTTACTTAAGTCACAACTACAATCCTGGAAGATAAAAAAAGCGTTTCGGGCACATGATACTACTTATAAATGACCCAAAATATTTCGACCAGTCAAACCTTCTAAGTTCTAACATTTCTCTTGCAGGTATTTTTTTAATTACATCATTTATTACTCACTTCAATTCAGATCTATAAAGTATGACAGAAAGCTGAATCTGGCAAAAACAAGATAGCAACTCAGGCTTGTTAAATAGATCAAAATTGCAAAGTTGATATCATTTAGCGTAAGCTATAAAGGCTGCCACATGCATAGACATAATGGAACAAGGTGCGACATTGTAAATTCAATCTAATAGCTTCGTGTTTTATTAGATCCATTAATTGTCAGTCATTTGGCTAAGCTACAAGACAGACGGTTCTTTGACAAACCATATATGCATCTAACAAGGTCAATGCACCTTAAAAGAAGGATACAAAAAATGATAAGATCTAGCAAAAAGAAAACAAGCCAGATCATGCAACAGTAATTCTATAATAATACACATTCAAAAGTTTCTGTTTATTGGTCTGATCTTACCGGTGTCCGGAGTAGTCTCCGGCATCATCAAGGACAGATCTGCTAGAGTTTGCAGGGCATCAAAGGAAGTGTCTTCAACTACAATATAAAATAAAACAAAGAGTCAAAAACAATTAATGACGAAAGACAGAGACAGAGTTCCAGAGATCAAAGTAAATGGTAAAGGTTAAAATTAAAGCTCACTCAAATAAATCCACAAAGAGAAGTTGAGAAAAAATGGTGAAGTATGATTAACAGGCTAACAAGATTTTGATAAAATTATCTTTGAATGTTGCAGGAGACCAATGTGGAACTGGATGTAGAAAATTCTTTTCTGAGAAACAAGTCTCAGAGAAAATTATTTTTCTGAGAGAAACAAGCCAAAATTCAATCTCCAAATAGCATAGGTACAAGAAGCATAATCATACTTGAAACAAATAAGCAATAACCAAAAGATAATGTATCAGACATCACCGGATTAGCTTAGATAAATTTGCAGATGAAAGTCCTAACACAGAAGTAAAAAGAAAGGAATTGAAAACAGGGAAAGAATACTTTTCTTGAAGGAAAAAACTATCATACCTTCAAACAACACCTTTTTACTTCTTTTCCTTGGACCCTTAATCGAGGCTCTAGATGTTTTGGCATCTGCAACCTCGCCATCAAACTTTCCCTTGAAATCACTTAATTGTTGTCCTTCTTCTGTCCCACTACAGGCTTCTTTTGTGTCTTCCAAATGGTGGTTTACACTTCCCTCAACCTCTGGCTTCCGTCTAAGGTATCTTTTACCCTTCTGTTGAACTTCAACAGTACCAGTGCCTTCTATAATCCTTGAATGGTTCTTGCCTCTATCATAATCTGCATTATCAGCTTCAGTGCTTCCTAAGCTTAATTCACATGCATCGTCATCCACTTCACTACCATGAATCTTGGCACTAGTAGTTTCTGAATCAGCATTCTGAAGAAAGGAATCAATTAACCTCAAAATGTAAGGAAGAAGTAAGGAAAACATTCGGAACATCAAATAAAAATAGATTACCGTCCTCTCACTATTGATGACAGGTGATGGTGTCTCTGCTTTTCTATTTGGTGTCCGGGAAACTTGGGGTGAGCCACCTCTTTGTGATGCCTCCGTCAATGCTAGTGCTACCTCATGAGCAACATCATCATCAACAGAATCTGCCTTTAGTTTCATTCCTTGCCTAATAGGTGAAAAATATCTTTCCCCTTTGTTTTTGTCATGAGAAAAAGAAATAGGAACACGAGGAGTCCTTTTTCCAACAGCGCGGGGCCTACTTTCTGAATTGATTGAAGCAAGTAAAAACTACTAGGAAGAAACAAATACAGCAGTCTAATATTAAGAACTTAAATTTCAATGCGTTGTATCCATTGCCGAAAAAGTAGAGATTTAGTACACTATCCTAATTTCTAATTCAAAGTCCAAAATGAAAAAGACCACCTCAAACCCCAATGTATATGTAGAACATTTATACATAGGATGATTAGAAAGAGACTGAGATAGAGATCTTACCGGAACGTCTCCTCTTCAACAATGACACGCAACTTGATACTGATGAAGGAAATTGCAATAGATCTGGAAGAGGCTTATCTAAACTTTTAGAAGGCTGATCTCGAAGTTTTCCCTTGCTACGCTTCAGAGGTTTCCGAGAAACTCCCTCATTGCTTTCTTGTTCACTGTCACTTCTTCCCTGCCATATCAAAATCCAGTAATTTCAGTTCCATAAAAGCCATAACAAATATGTTGCAACTTAAAAAGATTGTATTTCCTAACTTCAGTTCCATAATTGGTTGCATGTCCTAGATTCATCCATGCTCGGTGCTCCATTGACAAATTCCAAAACACAAGAGTATTTGACCATAAACTACAATCCAGTCAACTAAAGAGTAAAGAATTGGACAAGTATACCTTAGGGCTATACCAATGTCACAAAGGTGAGTAGGTGACAGACAGAGTATTAAATAGTCAAAGTTGCAGAGTAGTGCAAATCTATTAAAAATCCATGCAAACTCTGAAGAACCACACCAGATTAAATTATACACTCACCATAACAGAATAGTGATCAGTCATCATTGCTATCAGTCCAACCACAGAAGCAGTGCCCTCAGGAAGAGATAAGTAGGCCTGAAAATATGGTGAAATTTCTATTATTTAGTTTAACTTAAATACATACAAGCACCTTCATGATATTCTCAGTCACTCATGATTAAGATTAAAATAGCAACCCTTCATTGGTAGATGAAAATAATATGATTAAAATACTATTTACGGAAAAAATGTGTCAAATATGACATTTAACTTCATTATTTGTTTCAGAAGAGAATGCTTATTGATGATGGCTAGATGGCAACATGGAAAAGCTAATGAAACTCAATACCTTGTACTTGAGAGCTAAAAAGGGAAACAAAGAAATCAATATTGTTGATAATAGTACATGCATAAGGTAAAGAAGTTACACAAAATAAAGAAAAACATACATACATAAGTATTATGATACTAAAGCTATGCTTACCCTGTTCATAGTGTAAAGAGCTTCGACCATTTCCATGGATCTATTGCGTATCACGGTAGAAATCTAGAAACCAAAAGAAGGAAAAGCAGAATGGTAAACCGGAACAAATGAAATCCAGATGTCCCAACTACATGTGCATAAAAACAACTATATTAAAGTAGACTTTTTTTAATTTTACAAAATTATATAGATATAGAAAATTAGAGTAGAGATACCTAGAACATGGGCCATCTAAACTAAGTTAATCACAAGTCAACAAACAATAAAGAAACCCATTACATCAATCACAACTGAACTAACCTTCTTCCAATCTTTTCCATACTTACGATATGCTTCGTAGAAATGCCCAAGCTCTTCCTTGGTCCATTGAGGCCCTAACATGTCAGATAACTTCCTTTTCTGCACATAAGACATAGACATTATAACAATAACTAATTCCAGAATAAAATTTTTCAGTAGTCATTTTTCATAATGTGTAGAAAGAAAGATCTCAATAAAATATTAAGGCATACATTCACATGCAAAGGAAACCTTTTATTTTCTTATTGGCACTTGGTTAGAATGTTATGGTGAGTCTCTGCATTTCTAAATCCCATCCAGCAACTGTACCAGATCTATAGACACTGGGCAAAAACGAAATTTTGAATTGCAAACTTCACAGTGGAAACTTTTAAATTTCCTATTAGAGGCTGCTAGCTTTACAAACAATGCTTCACAGTTCAAACTTGATTACATCTTAACACAACAACTAAGTCAAGCCCTCTGTGTACTTAAAACTAATTTAAAGTTTGCCAGCAAATGAGCTTAAACCAAAACACATTAGAGCTGGAAACACACCAGGGTAGACCAGGAATAAATACACTAAATTCAAAACCCAATTACACAAAGTCACGAAGAAAATAACTCCAAGAACAGTATATAGTAAAAAATGTAATCAAACAACAAGCAGAATGAGCAAAAATGACCTAAACCCGCATAGCCTAACGAAATGAGAGAATAGGAAATAAAGAGATAAATGCATGAAAACCAAAATATTCGAAAAACTAATCAAGAACTCACCCGTTTCCCACTTCTCTTGGAACTACTATCTCCGTCTTTACTTGGAGCAACTTCATTAACATAAGAAAACTTCTTATTTACACTTTTTGATTTCCTAGACGGAGCCATGCGTGACTTCCTCAATTATCTGAAACAATCAAAAATCGAAACAACAAATTACCGAATCAATTTCCAGAATTGAAATCCGAAGTTCATCTCAACCATTTTTTCCGCACAAAATTTAAGAATAAAAGGAAAGGAAAATCTTAAACAAAATATTCAATATGAATTTCAAATTTAACCTCACAAAAAAAATCATTTCTCTCTCTAAAAAGAAAAGCGCAGGAAAGTAAAGAAAAACTCAAGCTTTGCCAAAACAAAAGAATCCATAATCTACGAAAGCCAAAACCAATAAACAACAAAAATAAAGAAGAAAGTAGTAGAGATCAGGTCAGCTATGTTTAGTTAACCAAAGTACCGCCGCGATTGAGTGATGTTTGGTTCATAGGTTGCCGAGAAAGGAAAAGAAAAAACACTGAAGAAAAATTAGCAGTTCAAAAACAAAAGGTTATCACTAGTAACAAAAAAAAAGCTCACTCAATTCACTGTCAAATTACTTCAATTAATACTCCAAAAAAAATTAAAAATGTTTCTTTAGAAAACCGAATCGAGAAGAAAGAATCGAAGTAAATAAAAATAATTTCAGAAAACGGAAACGAAAAAAGCTTACGAATTACCGATCGAGAACATTGAGGAAGAAAATATATGTGAACAAGAAGCGATCAAGTACAGCGCGAGCTTCTTCTCCGATGAGCAATTTGTTTTTTCTTTTTCACTTTTTTCCCGTAATTTTGAGGGTTTTTTATTGGAATTTGAAGATTGAATACGGAAGGAGAGAGATAAGAAAAATGGGAGAATTTAGGGATATAACCGCGAAACTTTAAAATAAAATTAAAAAAAAGGCAACCTCAATTGAAAAATGGCTTAATAAAAAACCCTTTATTATTATTTAATTTATTTTTATGATTTATGAAATTGTGATTTGTTTGAATAATGAATATGGCCGCTCAAAATATTCATCTGCAAATTTTTTTTATTTTTTTATTTTTTATTTGGAAAATATTTTTTGATAATTAATTTTTTAATTTTATTAATTAAATTATTTGTAATTATTTTTCATTAAGGAGTTGACATGATATTTAATAAAATTTATACAAATCTATTTTAATCATTATTATTTATATATTTTATTAATTTAATTTTAGTTTAATTTAATAAATTTAATACATTAGTCAAATAGTGATATATGTCACTAATGATATAATATAATTGGATGATTAAACTAAATTAACACGAGAATTAAATTGATCGAATGTGTAAGTAAAAAAGATTATATATATAATTATACTAATTTTATAAACTATCATGTCAGGTACTCCGTAAATGCTAACTATAAATACTTCGATACACATTATTTAAATAATTAAGTAATATTATTAACAAGATTAAAAATTTGATGATCAAATTAAATAATATTATTATTTTCTTAGGGAATGTGGTTGTCTTGTGATTTATAAATAAAATAAAATTTTAATTTAGAAATCGCATTAAATTACGCTTTTTGTAATAAATTAGATGTTTTAACTTGCATTAATACTCAACTTCATTCATCTTGTTGCCAGTTTAGTTTTAGATTCCGATGTTTATAATTATTTTTCAGAAGTTATAATTATTTTTGTATTATGTATTTAAGTTAATTTTGTTGATATAATTATTAGTATTATATCTATTGATCAATTAATTTAAATTAAATATTATATATATTTATTACGTGGGTGATCTTGCCATCTAATTTGTTAGGTAATGACCTATTTTTGTCGGCACATGTCCGTAGTAGGGATAAACAAGGGATCCAAACCTGGCGTATTTCGACTCGACATGATCTAATAGAATCGATTTTTTCTCTCTTTAACAATAGAGTTCGGGTTTAGATTGATCGAATTTTAAAAGAACGACAATCGAATTCGGGTTAAAATGGGACATAAAGTGAAAAATATTACATCTAATCGAACCAAAAATACAATTCTATAAAAGATAAATTTTAAAAATTCTAATGAACGTGAAATTATCAATGGCAACCGCACTGGTGTCGACAGTTATTGTTTAACTCTAAAATTCTCTAACAACCACTTTTCAAATAACCTAATTTTCAAATTTGATGTTTATTTGATTAAAAAGTGCTCTCATGTCTATGAATCTCAAGATCACAAGAAATAACAACTTCATTATCATTGAAGTCGCTTTATTTGTGCATACACACTCTGCAGATGTAGATGCTCAAAACAATATTTATAGAGAGAACACCATTCCTTTTCATTTTATTAAATTTGTTACTCTTTTTTTAAAATTAATCATAGGTATTCGATATATTAACCAACTAATCCATATTAGATTTTACAGAGGTCCGTTATGAGACCAACCCTCCCAATCCAATTTATTTCATATGCTAACTTCATTTGCTCATATATAGATTTCTGGAAATGAAGTTGCGGATCAATTTTTGTTAACTTTCAATCTTTATTAATTAAAATTTATTATTAATAAAAATATATTTTAAAAATCTTCAATCAAAATAATTTTAGAATATATATTTTAGAATATTTATTTTTTAAAATATTTAAAATAATTATGGTCTTAAAAAATTCAACTTTTAAAAAGTTAAAGCTAAACTACACGGGTGACCACTCAACTATGGTCAAAAATCATTTTGACCACCGATGTTTCAAGTCGATCAAACAGATCATCCAACTATCTAAATGCTTCGACCAAGCCACTCGCCGTTAACAATTAATGGAACAAGTGACGTCGCAGTTAAAAACATTTTGGTATAATTACACAATCGATCCATGTTACTTATATATTCTTTCAATCTGGTCCTCATTTTAATAAATTAAAATAATGACACGTGTTATCATTCGATTGGAGGATTAAATTTATTTTTTTAATTTAATAGATTTTTTTAAAATAATACTATCTAAAATGAATAATTTACCCTTTTTAATATTTATTCAATAAAGATAATTTAATTAATGATATATTTGGGTATATCTATTCAATAACGTGTTGCAGTATGCAGCATACACAGTTGAGTTTTCCCTTAGTTGATATTTTCGATCGAACTAAAATCGAAGACCTAGCTTGTTCGATTTTGATTCAATTTTCTTGAGCAACTCACCTGCAGTTGAGCTTTTGTCTGTCTACCTAAATAGGAAGAAACAAGTAAAAACAAAGAAACATGGGTTGTCTCCACTTTCCTGTTAAGATCTTCTTTGTCTACCCATTACCAAAAGTACTTAAATCTCATATGTTCATGTGCAATATGAGATGTTAGGCTGTTTTTGTACTAACACACACACACGCGCAGAAATGCTTTTGACAGTCTTTGTTTTATAGTTGTCTGTTTCTTTTTTTTTTTGGTAGATTTTGAAAATCTTTTTAGCTGTAGTGCTGGTAATGTGTCCCAAATGCTTTCGAAAACAGAGCAATAATAAAAGGGTAAACTACGTATTTAATATTTAAACTATCAGTTTTGATTCGTTTTAGTATCTAAATTTTTTAAATAAAAAAATTAAATCATACCTAACATTTAGTTTTTATTTCATTTTAGTATCTTGTTGTTAAAAATGTAACGCGTTTGGTACTTAAACTATCAATTTTGATCCGTTTTAGTACATAAACTTAAAAAAAATAATCAAAACTTAACGTTAAATTTTGAAGAGTACTCAACTGAAACAAAAACTAAACTTTTATGTATGCTTTTGAAAAAAATTGAAAGTTTAGGAACTAAAACAGACAAAAGTTGATAGTTTAGGTACTAAATGCATCCATTTTTTTTATCAAAATCATACCTAACGTTTAGTTTTTGTTTCATTTTAGTACCTCGCCATTAAAAACTTAACGCGTTTAGTACCTGAACTTTCAAATTTTGATCCGTTTTAGTACTTAAACTTTCAATTTTTTCAAAACTTAACATTAAATTTTGAACAGGTACTAAACTGAAACAAAAATTAATCTTTAAGTATGATTTTTAAAAAAATTGAAAGTTTAAATATTAAAACGAAGCACAACTGATAGTTTAGACATTAAACGTGTAATTTATACTTATAAAAAAGACAATGTAACAATCCGACACGGTGATGATGTTTTTAAAACCATTAAATCACAAGACATAAAGTAATAATTAAGGTTAAAGCAATGAACATTAATGGTGATCAATGAATCAATCTTGAAAGATCCTTTTGTAAGATGCTTTTACATGTAAAGGGCTTAGGCCTTAATTTGCTGATAAAAAGTAGAACAAATAGCCGCAAAAGAGAGACAAACATGGAGTTAATAGTAATTTGCTCTCTAATTCGAAAACAACGCGACAAGCTTTTATCAATGGATCGTGTTCAGAAATCAAAGTAACAGGAAAAAAACTGTTTTTTATATTATTTTTCATGTTCGCTTTAAGATTCTAAGAAACTGAAGTAAAATAAACTCAGAAAAGCGAATACCCAGAGTCGAAAACATCGTCTAAAGGAGACATTGAAGAAGGTTGTTGCAGAATCACGGGGTTGTCATTGTAAGGATAAAAAGCTTCCATGCAACCTTCTTCATCAATCAATGGCGGATTTACGATATCCGAGAGCTCCCATGGTTGTTGATCATCAAAGCTCATCACATCACCAAAACCAGGAAACTCAAGGCTTGTAACATCTATAGGAAGAACAAAGCTATTACCAGAACATGATTGGTTTTCATGGATGTTTTGTTGGATAGAAGGAACATGGGAGCTTGTTTGATTCGTCGTAGTCGTCGTCGGATTCAAACAGCTACTAGGAACAATGGACGACAAGTAACCTGAGTTAGTATCAGTAGAGAAAAAGAATCCATTATCATCAGCTGATGAACCACATGATGATGAAATTGATGATGATGGATCATTTTGATTAGGTTTGATCGGTAATATAGTTCCATTGTTAACAACATGATTGATAACCGGTTGTTTTTGTTGTTGTTGTTGATTTTGGAAGCCTGTAAGAAACCGATCAAAGGGGGACACAAGTTGAAAACAAGAGTTGTCCGAATAAACGAAGTTGGTCCTCGCTTGAGCCCCTTTGATGCAAATGGCAGCCCGGTCATAAGCAAGGGCTGCTTCTTGAGCAGTGTCGAACGTGCCGAGCCAATGCCGTTCTTTCGTCGTGGGGTCCCTAATCTCGGCAGCATAACGGCCCCAAGGCCGCCTCCGGACGCCGAGGAACCGTCCCGGTTCGGCCTGTTTCCGTCTCCCTCGCCTCTCACCGGGCTGCGGTGGGGATAGGTTCCTTTGAAGCAAAGCGAAACCGGCTTGTGTATGAACGATGGGCTCATATCTAAAAGGGTTTTCTATGGTCTTTGAAGTTGACATCACTATATGTTAATGGAGCTTTGGAGACAATGCAGCAATGGGAGAGGTTTAGGGGAAGAGATATAGATGGCTTGGTTTTGAATGAATGTAAGTGTTGGGGAGTCTTTTTAAAGAGAGTATTTTGAATTCGAATTAATTCGACCGACTCGAATAATAAACTAAATACATGTAAAATTATAAAGAAATATAATTCTAATTTGATTTAATGGTATTAATGATGCAAATATGACATCAGATCAACTTAAGCTATTAGGGTTAGTTTATTATCAAGGGAAAAAGAATAATAACCCATATGATCAAGTCACGTGCGAATTATAAACCCTATTAATCTACCCGAATTGGAAAAGTTAATACCTACTTCTTATTTCTCAGTTTCAAGGTTTTACTTTTACTAATTTGGACTGATCTAGGTCGCACACTTGGTATTGGTGGGTGAGTCTCACAACAGAGATTTTTTGCATATACAAAGACTCGAACATGAGGCATTACTTAAACGATATCAAACTGCTTACCACTTGAACCAACCCTCATTGGTAAGTTAATACCTACTTTAGTAGCACCAACCAAACGACTATATTTGATCTTAGTGGTTAAGTGATTTGTTATTTTTTCTTGAAGTTCTAAGTTTAGCACGACATCTAAATTGGTGTTTGAGCATTTATTATCAAATAATTGAGTCTTTCGAATTGATACTACCAGTGGTGGAACTTGGTGACATAGTTTGGGGGTAACTTAAAACTTTAAAAACTTTAGAGGTTAAAATTAATTTTTTTTCAAAAAGATTGAATGATTCAATTTACATTTTTTTTCAAAAAAAAAATGAGAACTAACTAATTTTTTTGAAATTTTAAGAGGCTTAAGGAGAGTTTTTAAAAATTATGAGAGGAATTTAATTAAGAACATTAAAAAATTTAAAAGCTTAATCTGAATTCTTAAAAATTTTGTGGGGCCAAATTAATTTTTTTAAAATTGTAAGGGTCAAAATTTTAATTTTTCAAATTAGGGGGTCATGGCCCTACTAGTCTTCACAATGTTTCATCTCTGGATACTACCTTATATTTACCCAAAATAATCAAAAGATAATAACACGATATTATATCTGGGTGAATCTTGAGATATCTTAAAGAAACTCTAAAAATTACGAGACTTCCCGTACAAGAAATAACATCAGAAATATGTGAAAAAGTAATCACAAAGATATAATTTATGGAGGAAATAACAAATTTATCTAAATCGAATCCTTCTTAATTTTTTTTATACTTATAACTTGTATGCAAATCCACATATTAAGCAAAATTAATCAAGTAAGCAACCTGCAAGTTCTTTGTTTGCCTGTTCCCAATGGGAGTGGTTGATATTATCTCTAATCACTAAGCATAAAATACATCAAAAATATATTATTGTAATGGTATCATTGTCCTTAATGATGGAAACAATTCCACAAACAAAGTGCAAAAGACAAAGGTTCTCTCCACCATATGGCCCCTTTAAGTCCAAACCCTCCTTGTTTTGTTTTTACCTGTCATCGTATACAGGGTCGACTCTAGGTATTTTTTGGCCCGGGGTAAAATAAAAGAAATGGATTTCTATTTATGTTCTTTATTTTTTGGCCTGGGGTAAAATAAAAGAAATGAATTTCTATTTATTTTCTTTTATTTTTTGGCCCGGGGCAAAATAAAAGAAACCTAGTTATGCAAAATCTTGTAGTTCTAAATTAATAGGCAATATGAAAAATATTATGGGTCATGGGCGGGCACCCCTCCTGCCTCGGCCCAGGGTTAGCCCTGATCATATAGTCTTAAAAAAATTCAATATCTTGTGATAAAACAAAATTTTGATGATCCTAGAAGTTGACCACTTGGCTTTTAAGGTAAAAGAATTGTGTTGATAGTCGAAATATAGTATATTGTTAATTATTTATCGGAATAACATTTCATAAAATGTCACACTAGATAAATGTACATATAATCAATCACGTCTTATGAATACACTTTTATCGTACGTGACATTGAAGAATATCATTTCAATAGTCCATAAATGTGTTTGAATATGTTCCTTTGTCAAAAAATTTCTAAAATATCACAAATAGTCCCTCCATATAGGAAAATAAGTTTGATATCCTTTCATGTAAAATTTAGATGAAAATAACAGCAATGAAGGAGTTTCGTGGTCATGTTTAGAAGTTTAATTTATTTCAATTCTAAGATATAATCGAGATTTATATAATTATCGAAAATTGAAATAAAAAAACTTCAATGATTTTAATATAAATTGGGAAGGTGAAATCGAAGAGAAGGGATTGATAAAGATGGTGGGTATTTTTTGAGCTCCTTGAGGACTATCCTTTTCCATGTTGTCTTTTTAACTCAAATTCAGCAAAAGTTGGTCAAGAGAAATATAGGGGACTTTCACTCTTTTTTGTCTCTCCTTTCTCCAAAAGCAAGAACAAGAAAAGGGGAAAAAGGAAAACAAATGTTAGTCCAAAATAGGAATGGATATGGGTCGGGTCGGGTCAGATTTTCGGTCTACTCAATTCGATTCGAAAAATAAACTTCTTCCACTCAAATCCGACTTAAGTTTAGAGTGACTTCACTCGACCCGAAACTCGACCCGGATTTTTTAAATAAAACCTGAACCCAACCCAACCCTATCCAAAATAAATATATTTATGAAATATTATTAATTTTATTCAATAAAATAACGATCTAATTGAAAATAATAATAATATAAAGATGGCATTCTTGCAGTTATCCCTAAATATATAAGATAAAATTATATTATTTTTTGAGTTGAGTCGGATATTTTTCATCCTAAATCTAAACTCGATCCGACCTGAATTTCTACTTTAAAAAACTAACATGATTTGACCTAAACCTAAATTTTTTCAAAAGAATTTAACTTAACCCGAACCCAATTTTTTTAAATATTCAACCAATTAAATCGAGTCAAATCAAAACCCGATCCATATCTCATGCCCGTGCTCCAAAGGATAATCAAATTAAAGGCTTAAAGAAAGTAAGTTTGGATTAAGAATGGTCCAAATAAAAGTAATATATATATATATATATAGTGTAGATTTTTTAAATATTACATATTTTTAAGATTACTAAATTAATTAAATTTAATGTCTAAGATTAAAATTTATAATTTAAATATAATTTTTATATTTTTCTCATAACTTATTCATTTTTATTCATTTAATAATCTCAAAAATATTTAAAATTTAAAAAATTTATCTAATATTGACATATCTTTTCTAGTGTGTGTATATATAAGTAGGGATGGACATGGGTTGGGTTTTTGGTCCACTCGACCCGAGAACAAGAAATCATTCACCCGAGATCCGACCTGACCCGACCAAAACCATATTTCACATGATCTGATATATAACTTAAAAATTCGACCCAACCCGAAATAATAATAAAATATTAATTTTATTCAATAAAAACAATGACTTAGTTGAATATATATATATAAGGGTATTATTTTAATTATTCCTAAATATATAAGTAAAATTATATATTTTTTGGGTCGGATCGAATATTTTTCACCCTAAACTCAAACTAACCCGACCCGAACATCACATTGAAAAAATTCGATCTGACCCGACCCGAACCCGATTTTTTTAAAAAAAACCTAACCCAATTAGATCAGTTCAAATCTCATTCCTATCCAGTGTTTTGAAAATCGGACCAGACCGACCGATTCAACCGGGAACCGTTGCCTAGTTCGGTTAAATCTACACCAGTTGAACCGCTACTAGTGAACCTACCGGAACCGCTGGACCGTTCGAACCGGACATGCTGAAAACCGAAAAAAACCCAGAAAAAAAAACCGCCAATTTTTTTTTTTTTTAAAAAATTAAACCAAACGATGTCGTTTGTTAAACAAGCCAAGTCGAACTCGTGTATTGCTGAGCTCGACTCGAACTTGAAAACTTTAAAAGTAAGCTCAACTCGACTCAAACTCACGAGCTAAAAATTATCAAGTTCAACTCGAACTTGAAATATAATATTGAAACTTGAACTCGAAAAGGCTTGAACTCAAAAAAAAAATTAGAAGCTCGATTGAAGCCTAAAATTCGAGCTTGATTGAAGTGAAAGAATAGTTCACTCAATGCTCACCAAAAGACTCCATGATTTTGAATGTCAAATTACCTCTATTATTTATAGAAGTTAGTTGTGATGCTCTTCTATGTTTCTTAGCAATGTGAGATTGTTTTGTTCTCATATTTTTACTCTTTAGACTTTTGGGATGTTCTTCTATGTTTTTTAGCCATGTGAGATTGTTTTAAAAAAAATTAAATCAAACAATATCATTTTGTTATGATTTTTTTAGCCCCAAATTTATTTTTTAATTATAGTTATATAATTATATTTATTATTTAATATGTTTTACCTTAAATATTATGTTGTAGTTAATTTGAATCATTTTGTTTCACTTGATTTTATGGTTTTTAATTTATATATGTTATGACTTGCTTTAAATATGACTTGTAATATAAAAAATTATTTTTTATTAAATATTTTTTATATTTTTATTTACTTTTTTAAATAATTATGATGTCGTCCGATTCTTTCGACCGGTCAAATCAATTCAACCGATTGAACTAATAAACCGATAACATGACCAATTCACTAACCGATCCGATTCTAAAAACCATGTTCATATCTCTATATATAAGTGAGCATAAAAAAAGAATTGATTTAACCGTTCCAACAGAGAAATTGTTAAAATATAGTAATGTTTCACATGTGTAGATGCATTGGGAATGGTAAAAAGGACTAATCATGATCAAATATGTCAACTCGTTTTTTCTTCTTTTTTTGGCATCTCCCCAATTCTACAATATATGCTTTGTCACTTGTCATATAATTATAGTCTAACCTAATTAAATTATGGACCGACATAGGGAGAAGGGAATGACACGTCATCAAGTTGTACTATTATTATTATTATTATAGTAGAAGGATATCTAAGGTCCATGTATTTTAAAAAAAAAAAATTAATGTGACTCTTATTTTTTTATATTTAATGTGA